CTTCTGGCCTCATGTTTCCTGAGATTGTTTGCTGTTATATATTTTCCTCACTCTAATGCAGGCTCCATAAGAGCAGGAAGTTTATCTGCCTTGTTCACTACTGTACACTCAAGGACCCAGGACAGTGCCTGGCATGTAATAGGGTAAATGAATGAATGAATGAATGAATGGGGAACAAGCGAACCAGATGGGGTTGTTCTGAAGTAAGAAGACTGTCAAGAAGTAACTGAATTACAGAAGGGTCTCACTAGATGTGGCTCCTTACGATCTGAAATGCTATCCTGGGTTTCCCATGGTGGCAGGGAACAACCTTGAAGCCCCCTGTTCCCTGGGTCCTCTGAATTGCGGTCATGCCTGCTGTCTCTGGATCAGTCTCTGTGCCACCATCACTGCCACTGTCAAGCAGTAGGCATGGGCTCAGGGCACAGTACTGCACCAGGACTCCTGTTAGGAAGCACCGCCATTTCCCACCAGATAACCCCCCCCCACCCCCACCCTGGCTCACTCAGAGGAAGGGGGCCTGGGTCGGGAGGGGAGGGTCAGGGGGTTCCCTCACCTCAGGACTGCAGGGAATATCAACACTCTCCAAGCAAGGAAAGCAGGCACCTCAGAACCTGAGAAGAGCTCTCTGTGTCCTCCGTTCATGAGGAGGGGGTGGAGCCTAGTTGTGGGTGACCAGGTCACCAGGTGACCAAGAGGTTAGATCACTAGGTGCCAACCCAACCTTGGAGTCAAGCCAACTGTAAAGATGTGTTCATCTTGCAGCCAGACACTGAGCTCCACATTTATGTGCTTTTGCTTAGAGTATGTTACATATTTATTATGGACTTTTAAAACCTGCATACCTGGACCCCCTCTCACAGGTCCTGCTTCAGAATGTCCAGGAAAACGTCCCAGGCACTGACATACTTTTTAAAGCTTCCTATTTAGTTCTTGATAGCTCAGTTAGTAAAGAATCTGCCTGCAATGCAGGAAATCCCGATTTGATTCCTGGGTTGGGAAGATCAGATGGAAAAGGGATAAGCTACCCATATCAGTATTCTTGGGCTTCCCTTGCAGCTCAGCTGGTAAAGAATCCGCCTGCAATTCGGGAGACCTGGGTTCAATCCCTGGGTTGGGAAGATCCCCTGGAGAAGAGAAAGGCCACCCACTCCAGTATTCTGGCCTGGAGAATTCCATGGACTGTACAGTCCATGGGGTCGCATCTGGTTCTCATTAGCATCTAGGGCTGACAATTATTGATAAGGAGTGACTGGGGTCCCCAGAGCAAGCAGTAGGAGGATGGTGGGGTGTAGGTAAGGGGGAAGGGTGCTGAGGCAGGGCTTCAGTCACATTAGAATAATGAAGTTCCAGAAAGTCCCACAGATTGAAACATATAAAACCTCCACACACACATAAAATCACACAAAACCTCAAAAAAAAAAAAAAACCCAAACAATAAACTAGCATTTTAAAATGTAAAGAGCAGATAATTAGAGGAAAATATGGTAGCAAAAGGTGAACAGCCTTAATATTTATTAAGAACTCTTACAGATTAGTAAGAAGATGAGCACCCAATAGAAAAAAAGAGTACAGACAAGAATAGGCAATTCAAAAAGAAGAAATACAATGAGCCAATACACTTAGCAAAAGCAGTCAGCTTCACCAGGGGGAGTCAAGAAAATGCAAATCAAACAACAAAGAGGCATCATCTTTTGCCTAGCTAATTGGCAGAGATTAAATACATGATAATACCTAGTGTTGGTAAGCATGTGGAAAAAACAGGCACCGTCATTCACTGGTGGGAGAGCAAACTGGTGCAGCCTTTCCAGAACACAATTTGGCAACATGTAAAACTGGGGAAGATCGCACCCCTTTCTGACGCAGCAATTCCACTTTTAGGAAGATTGCCTTAGGAAATAATTGTGGATAATAACAGTAATAGCCAACCTTTCTTAAATGCTCTGTGCATGCCAGGCTTTACATGCCTTATCGCATATAATCCTCCTAGTCATCATCCCATGAGGTAGGAGCTGTTTTTATCACTTCTGAGGAAACTGAGGCCCAAAAGGATTAAGAAAATGGCCTAAGGACTTCTAGTGGCTCAGATGGCAAAGAACTTACCTGCTAGTGCAAAAGGTGCAGGTTCCATCCCTCAGTCCGGAAGATCCCCTGCAGAAGAAAATGGCCACCCATTCCAGTATTCTTGCCTGGGAAATCCCATGGACAGAGGAGTCTGGCAGGCTATATAGTCCATGGGGTTGCAAAAGAGTCAGACCCGACTTAGCAACTAAACAACGACAACAGAGGCATAGAACTAACAAGTTGCAAAGCCTGGATTTGACTTCAGGAAGTCTGAGTCAGGAGCCTCACTGCCAATACAGCAGAATACACTGTATATGTATCAATACAAAGGATGATGTGCACTGAATATATACACTGGATAGAGCTGCAAGAATATTCCTCTGGGCTTGTTTGTGATGAGGTGTGGTGAGGCAGGGGAGACTGTATGTTAAATTCCCCCACAATAGGAACTGGTTACATTATGGTGTACCCATATAGGAGTATTATGTAACCTTGAAAATGATGCTACAGAAAAAAACTATGTGAATCCTAGGGGGTTTTGTTTGTGCTTAAAAGATCTCTGAAAGGATATAAAAGGAGCTGATAGAATTGATTGCCTCCTAAAAAGGCAACTGTGTGGCCATGGTCAGAAATCAGAAGGAGACTTGTTTAAGTAATATACCATTTTTCACTTCTTGAATTTTAAATCATGTGAATGTAATATTTATTAAAATATTTATATACCTATAAAATACACCCACACACAAGGTAGGTTATAGAACTTATTCCAAATAACTTTACTTCCTTGAAATGCTACTAAGGGTTCCCCAAAAAGCTCCAGGACTCTTACTTGGGGAATCATACTGAAGCTGACGAAGAGACTGCTTTAATGTTTACCTGCAGGTTTCCCAAACTGAGTTGCTCATGGAACCATTTTCTTAATTAATATCTCTTATCCTCTCTCTGGAGATGAGTGCCTTATAACTTGGGAATTATTTGTTATTATTTGGGAATTATTTGTTATTAATACTTAATGCCAAGGTGAAAGGCTTACAGTGTTTCATTAAATCAAAGAAATATGTTACCGGCACTGGTCCCACTTTGTTTAAAAATAGATGTGTAGGGGTGGTATGTGTGTGTTTTGCTTATGAGTTCTGGGATAATGGATGATTTTAGTTTCTTCTTTTATCCATTTGTGGTTTTTAATTTTCAAAAATGAACAAAATCATTTCACAGGCACCATTGTTTGAGTCTATGTACTATATTTTTAAGGCTTTGGGATCCCTTTCTTTCCATGCACCCCATTCTCTGTGTGTGCATGCTTAGTAGCTTCAGTCATGTCCGACATTTTGCAACCCCAGGGAATGTAGCCTGGCAGACTCGTCTGTCCATGAGATTCTCCAAGCAAAAATACTGGAGTGGGTTGCCATGCCCTCCTTCAGGGAATCTTCCCGACCCAAGGATCGAAACCACGTCTTCTGTGTCTCCTGCACTGCAGGCAGATTCTTCACTGTTGAGCCACCAGGAAAGCTCCCAGTCTCATTTACTCCCTACTGAAAGCAGCAGCCCGGGGTTAGGTTCACTGAGAGGCCCCCATCTATAGCCAGGCCCTCTCATCTGTCTTTATCCAGGGCCAGCTCAAGCTGTGGCTCTGAGGTGGCAGGGGACGGACCAATGGCCTAGATGGGGTCTGTCTGTCACTAAACAGCTCTCTGGCCCCAGCAGACCCTACCTTCAACCAGGTTCCTCAAACAGAGATACTGAGGCTACGGAATCAGACACCAGCCAGCTGCAACCCTGACACATTGTGCATCCAGGCAACCTGGGCTTTGGTCCCAGCTCTGGGCTGCCTGGCTATGTGACCTTGGCCAAGTTTCTTAACCTGAATGTCATCATCACCCTTTGAGTCAGCATGACGCTTGCCTTACAGAGCTCAGTGACCAAATGAGAGCACACACAAAGGCACTGGTGTCCCGCCGAGGGCTGTCCCAGTGGAATTATTACACACCCCAGCAGGGAACATGGGCTTGCCATCACCTTCCTAAGAACAGAGTACTTTTTTCTTTTCTTTTTTTAATAGGTTGTTCCTTCTCCAAGAGGGAGGGGAGCAAGGAGATGAAACATGGGAGACTGGGGCATGTGGAAATAGAATGGTGCTCAAGACAAATAGGAGAAGCCTTTTAGCTTGACATATGCAGCCCTGCAGCCCTGGTTGTGCCCATGCCCCCCAGTCTAGCCGGCCCCACCCCACACACAGCCATGCCACTTCACACATGCAGGTCAGCTCACCTCACCGACCATTGCAATTCTGATAAACCACAGCTTGGACCACCTCCCTCCCTTCCAGCTCCCTCATCCTTTGGCTTTCAGCTGAGTTAGCTGTTCCCCAGCCTGCACTGGCGTCACTCCTCTGGGCTTCAGCACCCCAAAGCCTCGATGATTGCTATGATGCCAGCTTCCAGCTCCTCTGCCAGACTGGACTTCCTGAGGGCAGGAGCTGTATCTGTCACTGTGGTCCTCCTGTCTCTGGGTCCAGCATGGGCCTGCAGGTCTGGGACTAGAATTAGATCATGAGCACTAAAGTCCAGGAGACCTGGGTTTGAATTCCAGCTCCATCCCCTTGGGGAAGTGACTTCACTCTGAGCCTCAGTTTTCCCTATCTGTAAGTGGATTTCATCCTTGCAGTGAACTCACAGGGTTATTTTCATCAGTTAATGTGTATAAAACTCTGAAAACCATTCCAGGCATGAAGGAAAACTCTCCATCGGTGGTACCACACTGACAGCATCACAGACCCTTGGTGAAGGCTTGTTGATTTGAACTAGGAAACAGCACCAGGAAGGGTGGTTCCCCAGGATCAAACCCCACCTCGCCCAGAACAGTGGCCCTTTCCCCACTGTGTATGCTTGGCACTGTCTCACCACCTCCACACTCACTCCTGCCTTGTACCCCCACAGCCACTCGGCCCAAGCTGAAGAAGATGAAGAGCCAGACGGGACAGGTGGGTGAGAAGCAATCGCTGAAGTGCGAGGCAGCAGCCGGTAACCCTCTGCCCTCCTACCGCTGGTTCAAGGACGGCAAGGAGCTCAACCGCAGCCGGGACATCCGCATCAAGTATGGCAATGGCAGGTGAGCAACATCCCTCCCTCCATCCACCAGCCACCCTGCCTCCTTCCTGCACAGAACCAGTTCCCATCCCCCTTTTTTGTGGCTCCCCGTTTCTCCTTCCAGCTCTGGCATGCTGCCCCAGTGTCTTGCAGACGGTAGCCACTTAATTAACATCCCTGGATGGTTGAAGGCCATTTGATTGTCAAAGTCAGCTTTAACTGTGAAGTTCCATCTTGTCCATAAAACTTTTCAAAGGACTCGCACCCTTTGAGTGAAGCCCACCACTGGGCAGTCTTTGGTGAAGGACTCTGATCTATAATGTGTCTAGGAGGTCATGGGTGATGATACACCAGTTCCTCAGCTCAGCAAGCTGTCACTGGGCAGGGAGCAGGGTGAGGGGAGGGGCCCATGGCTTTGACTGGTGTCAGAGGAATCTTGGGACAGCTCCCCCATGACTTGGAAATTGTCTTTAGTCTTTGAGTCAAGGCTTCAGGGAAGAGAATCAAAAGGTCTAGGGTCTCTGGGCTGTGGAAGGTGGTCTGTCTCCCAACTTGGTCAGACAGCGGGCTGCAGGCACAGAGAAGCCAAGGATCCAAGGGCAGCCCCTCACCTCTCTCCCGCCTCTCACAGCCCCTGAGGGGCTGTCAGAAGGCAGAACGAGCTTGACCTCCGCTCTGCAGATTCTGAGGGCACAGTAGGCGTCCGTCTCTGGCTGAGCGGCGCCCCAGCCCTTCCTGCTCCTCCCCAGGGGCTGTCATTCCCTCCTCACCCCCCAAAATGCAAATAGTTTTAGAGGACCCTCCAACCTGTCCCACAGCCAAAAGCGATGGAAAAAAATGTCTGGGCTCAGGCTGCTCCTGGTTTGCTGGGAGGTCCTGGATGTACACATCCTACTCTCCAGCCTTAGTGTCTGAACCTGTGAAGGGAAGGGGTCAGGGGTCTGCGCGATGCTTGCAGCTTTCTGACCCTCTTCCCATGAGCAGGGAGCAAAGACAGGACCTGTCACCCTGGAAGGTGGTCCAGGCAGAAAATAGAAAGTGATTTAAGAAGGTTTGGGTTTAGATCAAAGGTTTACAGCTAAAAAAAAAACACTGCTTCCTGAGGGAAATTGGGAGGGTTTCTGGGATGTCACCAGTCAATGGAGTTAGCAAGAAATTCAGGTTGCCCATCAAGTCACCTTTTGAGGCCCCCTCACCCCTTCCCACTGCCCCGCCATGCCTGGCTGCAAGCTGGAGAGAAGAGTGGACTGGCTTCCCAGGCTGTTGGGGCCCGTCTCCCTCCTGTTCTGTTTTTCTGGAAGGTGGCCTCCCCCCCCACTTGCCTGAGACAGCAGAAGTCAGGAGAGGGGATGCTCCTTGCTGTCCACATTATGCTCAAACAGTCCACAACGTGGCCAATCTTCACCCCCATTCCTGATCCACACGTGACCCTCACACTCACCCACACCCACACCCTCCTGCACACGCACCCTCAGAGCCCTTGGGCCACCAACAAACTCCTCTCTTTGGTGAACTCTCCCTCTCTCTCTCAACAAACCACGAATACCGCCTCTCCTCTAAAAGCTCTCTCTCCACGTTGTCGTCTTCTCCTGTTCCTCCTCCCCTGACTATTGCCCATCTCACTCCTGCCCTTCACCACCACGCGGAGGAAGTTTCTAGCCCACTGACTCCACACTGGCTCGTCCTCCACACCTCTGCTCTACGGGAACCTGCCTTGTAAACGCAACCCCGACACTCTCTGCGGCTGCAGCTCTTGACAGACCCGGTGACCTCAGGCCCTCCCAGGGCCCCCCGGCTGCCAGGCCCCTCAGCAGCCGTTGGCCCTGCCACCTGCTTCCTTGCCCCTGTGCTCCTCCTCCTCATCCTCTTGTGCCTCTGAACCCCTTCTCTCTGGCATCGTGAATGCTGGAACTTTCCTGTGTCTGGGGCTTCTCTCTTCACCCAGAGCTCTCCACCCATGGGTGAATTCACCCTCTCCTATCTGATGACCCCAAGCCTCCATCTCTAGTCTGATGGCTTTTTTTCCCTTTCCTGAGTTCCAAATCCATACTGCCAGCTAGATACCACCCCTGAGATTCCCCATGCTTATCTGTTTTTGTTTTTGTTTTTTTCACTTTTGTTTGCTTTTTCTTTTTTTTAGTAGTGTGTATTCCTGGGCCATATGTTTTTGTTTCTTCAGTTTCTTCTGGGATATCTTTTTCTTCCATGCAACCTCCTCTTCTGGTTTAGGAACAATCTGTTCTTTTCCAGTGAGGACCATCTCCGTATGGCCGGGAGAGCTCATGTATGGGTTGATCTGACGGTGAGCTCTCTAAGTCCTGCCCCATAGGCTGGAGGCTTTGTTTACCTGGATGTGCTCAATGAGCAGAGAATCTACATCTAAGCCCTTAAGTTCAGCACTACTCTCTGCGTTTTTGAGCACATGCAGTAAAAATTCAGTGCTCTTTTTGGGCCACTGACCCTGCGTCCAGCCCTGCTGTTTGGCCTGTGCACACCTAGCAACTCCACTGCTGTAACAATGGAATGGCACATAGAGCTTCTTTAACGTGACATCCTTCTGATACTTGGTGGCTTCTCGGATATGCATACCCTTAACGGCCTGGGTGGCTTCACGAGTGTTCTTAAAATGAACACAAACATTGGAACGTCTTGATTTGCACGATTTTGTGGGAATTTCTGAGTCAAATGAATTGCAGACTCTTTTTAGAGGTCACCTCTGCCACTTACTGGAAAAACCCCAGACATCTCTAATCCAGAACGCCCTGGTCTTGCCTCTCCCCCTGTCCTCTCTGGCCCTGCCTTGCCCCACAGGACTTCCCTCTCGACTGTGGCAAAACCAGACTGCCCGCTGCCCAGTGCCTGCCTTCGTGCCATCCCCTCCAGGTGGACACCACGTCTCAGAAAGGAGGCCTCCTTCTCCCTGCCCACTTCTGCTCTCCCTGCCTCCAGCCTCTTGTCCTCCACTGTCTCACTCTTGGCCATTCCCCACCTTTTCTAGGCCACAGGCCCCTTTGTGAATTCATTTCTGTTTCGCACGTATGTGTGCTGAGCAGCGGTTGTGTGCCGGGCACTATACCAGAGGCCGGAAATACACCAAAGATTGGAGCAGACATGGTCCCCACCTTCACGACATTTCTCTTCTAGCTTTTAGTGGAGGGTCTGGTAAAGGCCTCTACCCTTTCTTCAGAAAACGTGTGCCTGGTTTTGTTTGCAGTTCGAGAGGTCCACAGGTTCACTGACCCTGTTGACTCTAACAGTGGATGGTCTTTCTAACAGGGCACATATCTGATCATTCATTCGTTTACTTGGTAGATCTTGAGATTCTGCTGTATGCCAGGGACAGCCTAGGCCGTGGGGCCCTTCTAATGCTCCCCTTCCTAGCCTATAACTCACCGTCTCGTTGTTCTTCCGCTTGGTGCTTCTGACTCCTAGACTTGGGCCCAGACTATTCCCTGTGCTGGCAGCACCCCCTCCTCTCACCTTGTCCTTCACAAAAATCTCCAAGGCCCAGCTTAAATGTCACACCCTCTGGGTACCCTCCTGAGCACCCCCAGCAAGCTCTCACATCTCCTCCCCTGGTGCCTTAGACACAGCTTCATGACATGGTGGGAGACTGTTTCTCCCAGCATGAGAGCCTCTGAGACCACCCCCAGACACACCCTGTCTCTTGTGTAGCCTGGCGGAGGTCATCTGCTTTCCAGTGTGAACTGACAAGGATCTTGCAGGATCTGCTCACCTCTCCTGGGTGCAGGGGATGTAGGATTGGGCAGGACACCTGTTGCATTGACCTTGCCTTCGAACAAGTGACTGTCCTGGTCAGGCCCTGGTGTCAGCAGACAGATAGGGCACCCAGTCCCCACACAAGGCCTGGATGTATCCTCTGGGTCTCTTCCTGGGTACTAAGGCCCCCTGACAGCCTGAGTATGCCCCCTGCCCCCTTCCTGTCAGGACCCTCTCCCCTTGGCCACGTTTTAGAAACTGCCTGGCTTCACCCATCCTGCCCCCCGGCTGCTCCCTGCAGTGAGTCGATGGGCTGGAAGAGTGGGCCGTGATGGAGAGTGCCTTACTCCCTGTCATTTCCCATTCCCTCAGTGTAACTCAGAGAACTGCCACTCTACACGTACACTTCAGCTGGCTTGGGGGCTGGGGGCTGGGGACAGGAGTCTCCTTTCTGGCAAAGTCATCTTTCCTCTGCCGACACCACAGGGCACACTCTTGCCCTCCCAGAGCTCCATTCTGCCCAGCCCACACTGTCTTAATATCACTCTGAGTCTATGGAGACACCCCTCCCACTGGGCTCCGCCTGTCTCTGGGGCAGTCCCACTGAGGTGTCTAAGCCCAGCCTTCCCGTACCCGGAGAAGACCGCCCCCTTTCCCAGCCCTGGGCACGGAGCCCTTACCCGGTGGAACCATGTGTTCCCCTGTTTATGAGGGGCAGGCTAGAACAGGCCCCTCAGGCAGGCAGCAGGAGGTAGGCGATGGGGAAAATGTGCGGACGGGTGGAGGAGGCAGCCGCCCAGATCCCTGGTCCCTGCCAGCAGAAAACTGGCTGAGGAAGGCGAGGAGGGCGCCTATCACAGGGGCAGACCTGGGTCAGCCTAGCAAGGGGACACTGGGCCTGCCAGGGAGGTGGGAGGGGGGTTCTGAGTACTTGGGGCTTCTGATGGAGCTATGAGTGAGCACTCGAGAATGTGGTGGCCCCACTCCTTAGCTGCAGAGCCCCGCCCTTCAGCTCTGACCCCAGAACCTTTTGTGCCAGGCTGGGGCCACCTTCCTGGAACTGGGGCAATCATCACACAGCTGGTAAACCAAGATGCCTGCAATCAGAAAACCTGGGGCCCTGGTTTCTGTTCCCTAGCCTATTTCTGGTTCCTCAAAGGGGAGGGGCTCTCCCTACACCCCCGCCTTTCCACAGACCTCACACCCCTCCATGCAGGAAGCCCTTCCTTCTGGTTTTAGCTTCCATCCCTCCAGGTAACCATGATCCTGGCTCCATCTTATTCTGCATTTGATGTGGTGTAAGGGACAGTCCTTTGAATTCACTGTGAGTGGATGACAAGGAGGGTCCATCTCTGTGTCCCCTATACCTTTTTTTTTTTAACATCAAGGCAATTTATTAACACAATAATCTGAGGAGTCCTGTTCACATGTGGTGACCCCCCCTTCCTGTGGGTGCTGTTGGAGGGGGTGAGGGTGACTTCCTCAGTTCGCCCAATCTTCATCCCTGGGGCAAGGGCTCTGAAGGCTGACTGGGCCCCCTGTCTAGGAGTCTTGTCCTGTTTCCTCCTGTGACCTGGAGTTTGATGTGAAGGGCAGTGATGCCCAGCTCCTTGCATCTCTGGGCTACATTTGGGGAATCCAACATGGCAGCCTATGGAGAGAGCTCACCTCGGTCAGCCTTCACCTTCCTCCACCCAGTTACACAGCAGATAGCTTCCTGGCCAGAAAGATCTGTGATGTGGACAGAAGTATCACTGAAGAGTGCAAAGATGTGGCACACACCAAACACGTTTTCTCCTTCAGCCACCTGAGGGTCAAGGCTGATGACCCATTTTTCCTTCTTTTCTTTCTTCTTGCTAGGTGCCATTTCTGTACGTCTTCTCCCCTATGCCTTCTTGACCCTGAGACCCCTAGGTGAGCCCCTGCCCTGCTCATCTAGTGTTAAGGAAGAGCTGGTGGCCAGGAAGCTGGAGAAGCCTGGTCCTGGGGCAGCTGGGCTCCATGGCATCTAATTAGGCAGGAGCCAGGGAAGAGATGCTGTCGTAGCCAGAGGGGCCTCCAGGGCTCTGTTTAATGAAGAGAAGAAACTCAAGTTGACAGAAGAGGGTTGTAAGCAGACACAGGCCAAGGAGACAGAGACCAGCATGAGCCAGGAGGGGTAGGAAGGAGTCGGGCAGCTCGCACGGTATCATCGGTGTGGACATCACCACAGAAATGAGGCCTTTTGACTAGATAGGCTCGTGGAGGCTGGTTTGGGGGATCCCAGAGTTAGGAGGTCCAGGAAGAGTCCAGCATCAGGGGCTGAGGAGGAGCTCAGGAGACTGGTCCCCAAAGCACAGCGCAGGGAAGGATGTGGGTCATTTTGCCGTCTTCCTCCGTCCCTGGTGCAGCCTCTCTGCTCACTGCCCTCCTTCCCCATCAGCTTCATGGCTCTGTTTCTCCAGCCCTGGTTTCAGGGCTGGCTCCCATTCCACCACTCTGCAACCCACTAGGCATGTTCTGGGAATCTGATTTTTTTTTAACTCAGGACTAAGAGGAGGAAGTTACATCATGTTAAGAAATTTTCATGCTACTTCTTGTTTCCCCCTGGGGTCCCCAGAGTTTTATCCGGAGCTCAGACTGGCCCCAAAGAGCACTGGGGCAGAGGGAGGGGTGAGAGGTATGAACAGATCCTGCAGAGCCCAGGCACCTGCGGGCAAGTGCAGGGAAGCCGACGGAAGGAAAGAAAGGTTTGGCATGGTCTTCAGAAAGAAGAGGACAGGCCAGGCCAGGTGCCCTGGAGTCATACACAGCACTGGAATCCCTGCCCAGGCCTGGCCCCACGGCTCTGGGCATGCAAGGCTGGGTGCGAAGCCCTCCACAGAGGCGTTAGCCTGAGCATCAAGCTCCAGGAGACAGTCCATGAGCCGCCTGGGGCGCACATCCTCACCAACTCCAGCTCCTCATTCACCTCTGCCTTTGCTTTGCTGGCAGGCATTCTTAGACAAGTCCAGAAGCCCCTCAAGGACTCAGTTTTCCCATCAGTCCTTCCTGGTCCTCCTCCAGATTAGCCATGAGAGTCAAGTCAGGCCTTGAAGATAAGACTTTTTTGTTCCCTGAGATATCCAAGCCCCCAGCACACAGAGGGCACTCAGTAAACATCTGTTGAGTAAATGAAGCAAAACCTTTTGAAGAGGCCGCAGAGTGCCCCTTAGTGGCAGGGCTAGCATCAAGGCAGGGGAGAGCCACAGGTGAGGACTGGGAGGCTGGGCGCAGTTGCCCTGGAAACCTGATGGAGCATTGGCCTTTCTGGGTACCTGGGACAGGCCGTATCTATCCAGAGTGGTGGGGCTGCTACTTCTAAGGGAAGGCTGAGGTGGCTGTGAGTTAGTGGCTGCTCTGCTGGAAGAGGGTCAGGGAGACACGGCAGGCTGGGGAGAAGGGTGCTAAAGTCCTTGTGACTTCCCAAAGGATGCCAGTTTCCTGCCCTGGAAAAATGGTTACAAAGAAGGTCCAGTTCTGGAAAAGGGATGGATGCGAGGATCCACAGACTTAGAATTCGTGTTTCTCCTGAGTGTGCAGGTCTCCCTCCCGTTCCAGAGACTGTGCATTCCACCCAGACCCCAGCGCTGGCTGGTCTGCGGGAGCCTACTTCCCATCCACCTGCGCAGACACTGTGGCCATGCTGGAAGAGGTGACCACTGGGTGACCACTGGGGAGCTCACGTTCTCCCCATCTTATCCCCTCCCTAACCAGAAAGAACTCACGACTCCAGTTCAACAAGGTGAAGTTGGAGGACGCTGGGGAGTACGTCTGTGAGGCTGAGAACATCCTCGGGAAGGACACCGTCAGGGGCCGGCTCTTCGTCAACAGCGGTAGGTAGTCCCCCAACCCAGGGAACGGTCCTAGAGGGGTCCTGTGGGGGGAGCCTATCACCCTGCCCCCAGCCCTGGAGAAGAGGCCCACACATGATCCATCTTGCACTTGACTCCCCTCCCTCCCGCTGCTGCCATATCAAGGCCCGAGATCTGAGCCGATTCAGGGAAACGCAGTCGAAGCATAAATGTTTAGCTTTGTTATCTGGACCTGGAAGAGCCGCCAGCTCTCATTTTAAATACCCTGAAAACTAAATATTTTGAAATCAAGAGGTAGGGGGTGGGAGAAGGATATTTTTAGAAGGCAATTATGGGAGGCTGGGCTGCCAGGAGTGGGGCTCCGGAGAGAGGCAGACCCAGGGTGTGTGTGAGCCGCCTGCCCACGGCTTTGCTGGGCGCCCGAGTGCAGGCAGCCCGCTCTGCGGGGCCACAGTGGGGAGGCCTGGGTGCCCTGGGTCCCTGGAGGCAGCCTCTGTTCAGGGTTGGCCGGCCTCTCTCCCACAGGTCATCCCCTCCCTGGGAAATGTGCAAGGTCAGGAGCCCATGGCACCCTTAGCTGCCTCTCGCCACAGAGGCAGCCTCCCTGCTGGGCCATTCTCTGGTTGACTGGAAAGTCACCAAGCCTATCTGTCCTCAGGTCGCACCCCCTCCACTCTCGCCCCTCCTCTGAGCCCCACAGCTCTTGTTCCTCCTCCTGACACCCGACCTGTAGGTACCACTTGTTACCTGGTTGTTGGGTTTGCTTCCAGTCCTGCCCATCACAGAATCCAATCCTCCATCTGCCTGCATCGCCTGTGTCTCCACCACACAGCCTTCTGGTACTCCCCACACCCGGTGCAGTCCAACAACAACCCTGGCCTTGCACCTTCAGAGGAGAACCTGGCTCAGACCCGGTCTGCCCTGTGTTCTGAGGGATACCCCTCTCTTCCCAGCCTCTCTGTTCCTCCACTTGCCTGTGGATTTCATAGGTCTGAGTCTTCAAGTCCCGGTCAGTCTTTTTTCTGGATCTCTCGCTCACATCTTTTCTTTTCATTCCAACCCCACCTCGAGGGTACCTCTAGCCCAGGTTTCAGCCCTGCTCACCTGGGCCAGAGTAGTAGCCTCTGAAGGCGCTTTAACCCCATCATGCCCCCACCCTTGAAGCCACAGAACAAGAACTTGACCCCACAGCCCAGCTTATACAAATCTGACCCAAATGGTCTCCCCATATTCCCTCTGGAGCCCTGACTCAACCCCATGGTATAGTTCATGGATTAGGAGATTGAAGCTGAGAGAGGTTACATATTCCGCCCAGAGTCAAGCAGGTAGACCTACAGGATGTGAAAGATGTTGGCAAACACAGAGCCCCCTAAGCTCCATGGGGCCATGTCTAGCCTGTTTACCTCTCCAGCCCCGTGGCCCACCACAGTACCAGGCTCGAGTCAGTGCCTGGTAAACACAGAAGGACCACAGACCCTGCTTCAGGGCCTCTCCTGACTCCCCATAGCCCAGCCTGGGCATGGCGGTAGTAGGGGCACCCGCACCCTCCTGCCCCTCCCAGCCTGTCTCAAGCCTGGGAAAGGGGACCACGCTAGGCCCGGCATCGTCCCCTGCAGCCAGAGTGGGCAGGCATTCTCAGATCCACTGGGGATTTGAGGTTTCCTATTTTACATTTTAAGACTTTCTTGGTTAGAACTGATAAGAACCCAACATAAAACGATGTTGAGGAATTTATTGGTTTTTAAAACTGAGAAGTCCAGAGGTAGGACTGACCTTAGACCCGACAGAATCCTGGACTTCAGAGCAGGGGTCAGGGTGCTCCTTCCCACAATGTGTTGGCCTCTTTTTCTCCTCCTGTAAAATGGGCTTCCCCCACGTTTAGGGAAAGGATTGAGAAGAGGAGGCCATGGCCTCAGACAGCTCTGGGTTTACATCATCCCAGCACCACCCAGGGAAAAGAGATAGCTTGGTCTGTCTGTCTCCATTTACATTGTCACAGGGTTGGATTCTTGTTCTGTGCCCCACTCGGCCCAGCCATGCACTCCATGGGGGTGGGATGCCATCCTGGCAGGCCCATGTGTGTGTATGCAAAGGGGTGCTGAGGGGCAGAATACCATGAGTGACATCCCTGCTAGAACTACTTCGGAGGCGGGGGGTCGGGTGTGGAAGAAGAAGAAAGGCTGCCCTGCCTTGGAGGAAACCACCGTAATGTCCTCTGTCTTGCACAGGGCTTGGGGCCTCAGGTGGGGCTCCATTGTGAGATCCTTCAGATAAGCTGCAGCCCCACCCCTCCTGTGGGCTTCTGTGAGCCCTGAGTAGCCTGGGTTCTGGGCAGGCAGGGATCGACAGTGGAGCTTTGGGCTGGGCGCTCAGGGCTCTGTGCCTCTCAGTCCCTCCAGCAGGCAGGACGGCGGCGCAGCCGAGCTGTGGACAGAGTCCAGAGCTTTGGTCTCATTCCAGTTCTGTCATACAACCCTGAGTGAGTCGCTCCACCCGCCGAGTCTTCAGTTTTCCCATCTGAGTTTGAGCCAGATGATCTCTAAGCCCCTTCTCCCTAAAATTCTGGGATTCTCAGGGTTTTTTTGTGTCGAGGCTGACATCCTGTGCACCTAGCCACAGCCACCACCACACATGTATACCCTCACACCACATCTCTCCAGCTGCCCTTCAGTCCAGGCAGGCAAAAGCCTACCCTTGATGTGGGGAGGTGGACAGAGCCACTGGAGGGGGCCAGGTGGTCCCGTGGGGAATGTTTACCAGGTAGAGATGCTCAGGCTCCTGTTTACCCGTGGAACCTGGAAGACTTGCTGCAGCCCCACCCTGAGGAGGGGGTGGAGGGCGGGTAGCGGCAACTGTGCCTGCCCCCCTCTGACTCATTCCAGGGTGGGTTGGCTGGGCCCGCCTGGGCCCCAGGGAAGCCAGGGCTACAGGGGCGGGGTCACCAGAAGAGGGCATAGGAGGGCCGCCAGGGAGCAGCGTCTGCTCAAGGGGCATCGACACAGCCTTGAAAGATGAGGAGTTTTGTCCATGAGCAAGGGGTGGGAGGGCAGCAGTTGCAGTAGCTGGCGGCAGGGAAAACATCTCCACAGCATGAGCTCCCTCCTGGCCCTTGTCTCCTCAGGAACCCAGTGTACTCACTCACCCCAGGACACTGAGGCCTAATAGAGATCTCCTGGGTTTACCTCCCCAGGTGTTTTCTTTAAATCCCCCCAGCCCCTGGCAACCAGAATCTACTTTCTGCTTCTGTGGATTCACCTATTCTGGACATTTCACAGAAATACAATCATAGAATACGTGGCCTTTCAAGACTGGCTTTTTCCACTTAAAATAATGTTTTCAAGGTTCATCCATGTTGTAGCATGTATCAGTACTTTCATTTTCGTGGCTGAATCGTATTCCGTTGCATGGGTCTACCACATTTTGTTTATATGTTCATTAGCTGGGGTTGTTGCATCATTCTGATCGTTTCCACATTTGGGCTGTTATGAACAATGCTCCTATAACATTTGTGTCCAAGTTTTTGTGTGGTCATATATTTCACTTCTCTTGGGTATATGCCTAGGAGTTGACTTGCTTGGTCATATGGTAACTATGTTTAATTTTTTGAGGAACTACCAGCTGTGTTTCAAAGTAGCTGCACCATTTAGCATTTCCACCAGCAAAGTAGGGGGGTTCCCATTTCCCTACATCTTCACCACCACTTGTTATTATCCATCCTTTTTTAATACAACCATCTGAGGAGGTGTAAAGTGGTACCTCTGTGGTTTTTATTTTCATTTCTCTAATGATTTTTCATTAATATTTGTATTTTCTAAGAGACAATGCTTGAATTAATGCTTTAATGCTGATATCAGCAGCAGCCAAGGAGACCAGACTAGACCCTGGAATGGTAGTAGAATGTACCTTTCTCTAAAGAATCAGATGTCTTTATTTGCTTGGTAGAGATATTTGTCAGTATTCGTTAAGCACCTACTACATGCCAAGTGCTGTGCTAGACACTGGAGTTCGTTCACCAGTGAAGCAGACAGCCTCTGCCCAGATGGAGCTTACCTTCTATTGGAGGTAGCTCAGTTGGTAAAGAATCCACCTTCAGTGCAGGAGACCCTGGTGATTCCTGGGTCAGGAAGATCTGCTGGGGAAGGGATAGGCTACCCTCTCCAGTATTCTTGGGCTTCCCTTGTGGCTCAGTTGGTAAAGAATCTGCCTTCAATTCAGAAGACCTGGGTTCGGTCCCTGGGTTGGGAAGATCCCCTGGAGAAGGGAAAAGCTGTCCACTCTAGTATTCTGACCTGGAGCATTCCATGGACTATATAAGCCATGGGGTTACAAAGAGTTGGACACGACTGAGCAGCTTTCACTTTCAGGCTTTAGACAACTAGTAATTGCACAACTAGTCCTTTAATTGTTAGAATAAATACTTTAAGTTACAAAACTAAGAGAAAGAGTAAGGGAGGAGACCTGAGCAGCTTCTCTGAGACACTGATATTTTGAAAGTCCTGGACAAGGAGTCACTTGGCCTCTTAGAGGAGCTGAACTAAGCCAGTGGAGTCTGAATATACTGCAAGACAGGGACAAGACAAGAAGCAGGACGTGTGGTGAGGCCCAGATTAGACTTGGGGAGGGCTGAGTACAAAACCACTGGAGGGTTTTGATACTGGAAGCGACTGATCAATTTACATATTTTAAAGACCACTCTGGCAGCAGCCACAACGCAGAAAGATTAGAGATGAAGGCAAGAGTGAGGACAGGAAGACCTACAAGGAGGCAACTGTGGCCATCTGAGAAAGAGACCACGACGGCCTGAGGGGTGGAAGGGAGGCAGTAGTAAGACGTGGTAGAGCCCCGGGAGGTACGGAGGCCGGCCTCAGCAAGAGACAGCTGGGGGACCAAAAATCAGAGACTCGCTCCAAGCCTTTGGTTCATGCTGTTTAGTCACAGAGGTGAGCAAGGGTAGAGGAGCAAGTGGCAGGGCACAGGAGTGGGAGCTGCGTTTGGGGTAGCCTAGCACTGTCCCCGGGGTGGTGGCTAGGGAGCAGCCAGATTCTCTCACTTGGAGGTCATTGGTCATCTTCACCTCCCCAAACATGGGAGAACACAGTGAAGAAAGATGAAGGGAGTGTGAGACATTGCCCTCGGAGCCCACGTGTGCTGGAAGAGCATGACTGCACATCTTCCATGTGGAAATCTTCCTGGCATGAACCTCCACCACCAGCACAGTTGGTGACTTGGGAGGGCCCTGCCATTACAGGGGTGGCCTCCAGGTACTACTTTCTGAGGTGCAAAGGCCTTTCCCCCACACTTTCTGCAACCAGTTCCCCCACTGTCCTCCCTTTTGCCTTTCCAGAGCCCCAGCCTAGTCCCTACTGTGGCACAGTTCTGAAAGCCCCAGGCCATAGATCCCAGCCAGGGCCCCGTCTTCCTTCCTTCAGGAGTCATCCTCTGCCTCCCAAGTCCTGGGTGCGTGCAGACGTGCATGTGGGCAGACCCAAGTGTGTGGCCGTGGTCCCACCACCATCCGTGCTCCTGCCCAGCGTCAGGCAGGTTCTGCCACCCCTGACAACAGAGGGCATCAAGATGGCCTGAGGTTTCCCTGGCTTGGCCAGGGATCCGGAGAGGACCCGGGCCTGTGGTCCACATCATGTTTGCATCCATCTGTCAAGCCTTGGTGCTGATGTATTCTTCCAGGATGGACCAGGTGCCTGGTGAGAATATGCAGCCAGACATCAGGAGCCCTGAGGCCTTGTTACAACACACCCTGGACTCTGGAAAGCTCTTCTCTGCTCTTTCCTCACTTTTCCTTGGCAGTGCAATCAAAGGGCAGGGCAACCTTTAGGGTCCTCCCAGCAATGAGATTTTACAGCTCACAGGCGTGGTCATCTCAGCTGTTTCTCTTCTCTGTCCCTTTCTCTATTCCCTGGGTCTCACTGACCCAGAAGCATGTGGGTCCCAGACGAGTGTGGGGTTGCACAGAGGTGGGAGACGTCAGCAGGGGTGGGGCTCAGGAATGCCAGACCAGCAGCAGGCACGGTGTGCTGGGAAGGTGGGAGTTGGCCCTGCCCGCTGGGTTTTATCAGCGAGCTCCTCAGACATATACAGAGGCAGAGCTGTGTATACACTCCCATTCCCGCGCTCCATCTGTCTCTCCACACGTCTAAACACTCAGGGCGCCAAGTGCTTGCCCTCCTCCTCCTCCTCTTGTCCCCCCACTTACTGCGGGGGATGGTGGAGACTCAGTACCCCTGAGGAGACAGAACTGGCCAAGGTAGGATGAGCCACCTGTCAGGAGGCGGCTGTTGGGCGGACAGGAGAGGCCCTCCCAGCCCCAGAGACTGTGGGGGGAACAGGAACCCGTTGATGGCCAGTATGGATACACAGCCTGAGGGGTTAGCTAGCAGATAAAGACTGAAACTGAGGGTAAGAATTTCCACTTGAAACCAGGCTTCTGGGTGCCATCCCACTGAGGAGCCCTGCTTTGGGGATTTTCATTTTTCAGATGAATCTGATCCATCAGAGACGTGTAGTCTGGGTTAGCAGCTTTGAACCCAGGCTTGTTCTCACCTAGTTTCCACATCCCAGCTGTCCCCTAGCCCTATCCCCAGCGACCTAAAGCCCTGATTTATAGCCCAGGCTACCCAAGGCCTACCCTCTGGGGGCAGAAGTGGGGGAGCTGCCTGGCAAGAGCGGACATGAAGGCCCTGGATGCTTCTGGAGATATAGTGGCCTTTGTGGCGTTTCTGGGAGGCTTGTCCCCACCCTGGGACAAAGGAAGAAGAGAGGGGATCTAGGGATCTCCCTACATTTCCCAAGACCTTAGAAAATTAGTGTCCAAAAAGGTGCCATTCTCTGCAAAGCCCAGTTTCCTCCATTCACACCCTGGTCCATGAGAGCCCCAGTGGTGCAGATGGATGTATATGTCTCATCCCTGCACCCTGTGACTTGCCCCCCACATAAGACATGGTGCCTCATCCCACCTTCAGGGGCGCCCCCAGAAAGGCAGGCATGCGGGGAAGCAGTGGAGGTGGGCCCTTATTTCAGAAAACAGAGCAGTTTCTGCCAGCCTCTCCTCCCCTTCAAAAAAGAAAATCTTCCCAGCCTTTGGAGGTTTGCCTAGAGCATGAGTGCACTGTGGTGCTGGATAGATGATCAGAGCTCACAGTGGGCTCCCCTTGGCCTTGTTTGGTGACTTGAGGGACTCCCAGCCATTCCTAAAGCCTCCAATCATCCAGCTCTGAGATGGGCCATGAAGGACCATGAAGAAGGTGATTCCTGGGGCCCGGCAGTGGTCTCCGTGGGTCACCAGCATGTGTCTCTCATACCTCCAGTGAGCACCACTCTATCATCCTGGTCGGGGCACGCTCGGAAGTGCAACGAGACAGCCAAGTCCTACTGTGTCAATGGAGGTGTCTGCTACTACATCGAGGGCATCAACCAGCTCTCCTGCAAGTAAGTGACCAGTGTGGGGGTGGTGGGCGTGGGGGCAGGAGCAGGAGCAGGGGGAGAGAGGCCGGGGCAGAAGTGGAGGGCTCTAGGAAAAAATGGGCTTCAAGCCATTGATAAGGGGTTTCCCAGGGGGTGTAGTCAGGGAGGTTTGCCCCACTTCCTAGCCCTTTCCTGGAATTCAGGGAGATGTAAGCTCCAAAGGGCTCAGGGCTTCTGCAGTCCCAGTGTCCCAGGCCCCTACCCACCCAATCTTCCAGTGTCCCCGCTTTCACCGACACCTTCTAGGGAGATGGCGAGACCAGTCTCTGCCCTGGGCAGTGGGCACTGGATTCTCTCTCTCTCTCTCTTTCTTGCCCTTCCCATCTCTCAGCAACTTTCCAAACTTTGTTCTGATGAACACTGCCCGGGTCGCATCTTCCCAGCAGTGAGAAGCCAACAGGGTCAGGCGTCAGGCGGGACAACCGTCCCAGAGCCCATGCTAGCTGAGGTCTGCTCTGTTCTCCCTGCCAGCAGGAAGCCAATGCCCAGATATGCGCTGGCAGCCCATGCCACTTCAGTCTCTAGTCCCTCTCTGGGGTGTGAGGGGCCACCAGCAAGGACATCACTCGGGTGTGGCCGAGTGGGCAAGGTCAGGGTTGAGGACAAAGCTCATGTTGGGACTCTGCCTCCCCAAGGGCTGCCTCTTAGGACCTCCCAGGAGCTGAGGACCGCTGCTCCCACCCTTAGCCAATAGGGCTGGTGGAAGCACAGTGATCAGGGAGGGCTTGTTGGGGCCCAACCAGGTCTTCTGGGAGCTGGCGCCCGCTGGCCCTTGACAGATCCTCTGGTGGGCGAGCCAGGAAAGGCAGGGGAGCTGGTGAGGGCAGCACAGGTTCTGGCCTGATCTGAGGAGCAGAGGGAGCTGTGCTTAAATACTCAGTCATGTCCGACTCTTTGCGACCGCATGGACTGTAGCCCTCCAGGCTCCTCTATCCATGGGGATTCTCCAGACAAGAATACTGGAGTGGGTTGCCATGCCCTCCTCCAGGGGATCTTTCCAACCCAGGGACTGAACCCAGGTCACCTGCATTGCAGGCAGATTCTTTACCCTCCAAGCCAGAGGAGCAGAGGGAGGGAGGCCTAGTTAGCAACTCCGGGTTTCAAAGCAGCCTTGGGCTCTAGTGAGGTGCCAAAGCTGCCCCGTTCCCCATGGCATCTGGGCACAGGCCAGCAGGGCATTGATGAAAATTCAGGGGGAGGCGTTTGCCAGCCCCACAGACAAGGTCCAGTAAGTGCTCCCAGCTCTCCTGCCTCTGGCCTCCAGCTCCCTCCTGGTTATGACCTTGGCCAAAGGCAGCCCCACCTCACAGCATGATAATGGGGGCCACGCCTCCTTCACGCTCTCCCCTCAGTGGACAGCCAGGCACTCCCTGGGCTCCAGCCGGCCTCCTCTGCCAGCATTTGTCTTGGTCCACCTTCTACCTGCTGCCATCTACCTTCCAGCCTCCCCCATCCTGGATCTCAAGGGACAGTGCCCAAAGAAACAGCAGGTCCCCTGGGAAGTTCACAGTCCAGACTCAGTCCCTCATCCTCTCTTTCTGCCTCTAGGACAGTGTCACAGACCCTGGGAACATTCTAGCCTTGAAAATGCTCTGAGCACTTAGGAATAGATCTATAGAAATGTGTTAAGAGTTCTGGAATACCTTACAAAGATGGCCCAGCCCTGGACCCCCTCCTCTTATCTCCTACAACACACACACACCAAGCTTCTCATCTTCTCTAGCCCCTTGGACTCCCAGACCCTTGAAAGGACCCAGCATTGTCACTGATCAGCCCTGGCTCCAGACAGGAAAGGTTGCAGCCAGCCAGGACAGGTGCTGGGGCTGGGGAGGGCTGCGGAGCCCAGGACTCTAGTGCTAGAGCTTAGTGTGGAAAAGAGAACAATAAGCTATAGGGTTCCTGGGGACCCCTGCCAGCAAGGCTGTATGCCTAGGACCCTCTGGGTCCCACCCAGCTGAATCTGAGAGGAGCAGGGTGCAGGAGCCTGAGCCATTGTGAAGATGCTGTCCTATCCCCACCCCAACCAGGACAGCTGGATTTCACTGCTTAGAACCTGAGCTCGGTACCCAGAACTGCCACCTCCCCACCTTAACCCCAGCCAAGGCTCTTGGAACCAACTTCCCTGACTCCCTGGACTCCCAGGAGAGGGGAACCCCTGGTGGGGATGGCAATCAGGAGGGCAGGTCTTCAGAGCTGTGCTGGAGAAGGGCAGGGGGGAGGGGGGCAGGGCAGAACCCAGAGGCCATTCTGAGGGTGGGTGAGCCGGGAGGGAAGGGGGGCAGGCCTTTTGGGGTTCCTGATGACACCCTGAATGGAATGGATGAAATAAAAAGGAGAGAACTTAGGAAACGGAACTCACGTCGTACCATTTGTGCTGTTTGTTTACTTTTTTATTTTGATTTTTTTGCATTTCCGCTTAGCTTGGATAATGAAACTAAACTGGTCAGTTTCATTCCAGTTTTCGACAAAAATCAGTTTTCCTTCCTGGTTTTCTGACACTTGTTGTTGTGTATTGGTTCCGAGCCCTGCGGGGAGTGTTGGAAAGTGGGCACACTCCATCCCTCCTGTTTTTCTAGAATTCAGAGCCAAAAGAAAGTGTCACTGATACTGAATTTTGTTTTAAAAAGGAAAACTTAGGGGGATTTGAAAACGGGGGTCCAAATCATGGTGACCGCCTCCTGTCTGGGTCAGACAGGGGCCTCTGCACTTCCTCTTGCTGCTTTCTCCTCTTCTCTCCGTGTTTTTATAGAGCACGGTTGGTGCGTGACTCTTGGGGACTGGTTCAGGGGATGATGACAGAACAAGACTCTTTCCAGCCCTGTGCACATACCAGTGGCATGCCTCTCCTTGCCATCAGCCCATCCCCTCATCCCCCGCTCCCATGTCCAGGTGATCCCTCATCCCATCCCCATCTGCCTGCTCATCCTCTCCACCTCCACACCACCCCCCACCCCCGCTCATGAGGCCAGAGACCTTTCACTCCCTCCAGTGCCCGGGGCACACCCTCACCCCTCATCCTCCCCTTCCCCTGGGTGAGGGCAGCACACATGGCATTATCCCCAGGCTACCAAAAGGAGAAACTGAGGCCCGGGAGGTGGGGTGGGAAACCAGGGAGGCAGAGTCCCAACCTCTGTCATCCCAGGTGCAGCCCGCGGGCTCTCCTCTCTGCCCCTCTCTCACCCCTGCTCTTCTCCAGCCCTGAGCACAGACCTCCTCGTAGTCAAGGATAATGGCATGGGCTAAGGGCCAGGAAGCCTGTACCCCATGTCCTTGAAATTCAGGGAGTCAATCCCTGAGTGGGAACTTACCCACTCCCAGCCAGCCATGCCAAGTTCAGCCCCTGCTCCTGGTTGACAGGCTAATGTAGCCTGTTCCCTGTTACCAGGTCCTATGAGCAGGGTGGCAAGGCTGTTGGCCACCCCCAGAGCCTTCTCCAGGTCTGCCCCCAGCGTCCCAGACTTTGGCTTATCCTCAAGAAGCAAAGCTAATGAAAGGAGCCAGGGTACTGCCCCGTGAGGTGCCCACCTCCCACTGCCTTCTCCTTTGTTCAGCCAGCAGGGAACACACTTTCCCAGGGAGGAAGGGTAGGACTATATTGCACAACTACAGAGGGCTTTTCTGTGTTGTAGACAGAGTCCATGGCACCACCTGGAGTTGTGCAACTCTGTGGCCATGAAAAATAGGAGGATACAGTTGGGGTAGTCCAGGCTGGGTATGGGGCCAGGAACATAGGGATGTACTTAATTATCCTCCATCTCCAAGAGCCACAGGAAAGCATCCTGGCTCTCCAAAATGGGAATAAATTCCCCTCTGTCCCCTCCTGCTCCTGCACTCACCATTCTGTCTCTTACACACATGTGTGCGCACGCACACACACATACACACACACACACACACACACAGGTTTCCCTTGTCTCCAGAGCCGGGCTAATCTCAGACATTGGATACAGTCAAGCCTCTCTCTTATTCCTTTGAGGATTCCAAGAGTCATTTTGGCAACTTCCTGGGTCTATATCTTCCACCCCCAAAGGTGCTTCCACTTTGGGAAAAAATCACTTCTACACCTCTCCTCCCATTCCCAAGTGGAATCAGTTTGTGAGAGCTGAGAAAGGAAAGCTAAGCCCGACGTGAGCTGGATGGAAAGCTTTAGCCACTGCCTCCATTCTCCTGGGCTGGGATGATTGGGGATGAGGGCAAGGGGGTCAGAAAAGAATGTGCTGACAAAGTTGTAGCTTCCTCTTCCAAAGCACCCTGTTCAACAGGATGAGGGTGCATCAGCTTCCCTGGCAGGCTCCCTTCCTCCCTTCTCCAGATACCCCCTCCTCCACTACAGCTCTTTGGCCAGACATACCTGCATACACACTGCCCCTACTATAAGGACCAGCCTCCTGCCTCACCTGAGGGAGATACCCTAAGGCCCACAGAGACTCCAGCTGTCTTCTCATCAACCGCTCCCAATCCTCCAGGCTAGATTGGAGGCCACAGGGTTTTTGTGAGGATCTTTACAGCCAATGGCCATCACCCCCTGTAAGTTCAAGGGGCTACTGATGGTTGGTATATACTAAAATGCTAAGAGATATATAGTACATTCACCTCTTGGGGAAGTTTACTGATGAACCGTATTGGTCTGTTACTAAGGGGACACTGGTGATGGGCTTATCTGATTTCCTAAATTAAAGAGGCAGAAGAGCATAGACCCATCTTTGAGTAGGGGGCTGGGGGTGGGGGTCATTCTGGCCCTGTCTGTAAGCTTCCCTTAAGTACCTGGCCTTGCTGGGGTTCAGAAGAGCGTACAGGGCTGGACATGTCTCCCAGAAATCTGCCAGACAGGAAATCACTTGGAGGGAGAGAGGCAGCTAGGGAGCAGAAGGAAGTGGACCTTGGGGATAAGGACAAGGTCAGGGAGATGGGAGTGGGTGGTTCTCTGTAGGAGGCAACGAGGGAGAATGAACTCCCTCCAGAGCCACGCAGTGACAGAGGAGCAGGTCATGGGGAGAGGGCAGGCATCCCAGGCAGCCAGTTGGCCCCCTGATGTGGAAGAGGCTTTGGGGTCTCCAGGAGCCTGCTTTAGTCCCCCTGCATCATGATTCTTGCCACCCACACCCACCCTGGGCCCACCAACTTTGGGATACTGGTAATTCAGGCTCCTCTCCACCCTCACTTGTCCCCCACTAAGCTTTCCCCATATATACTGCTCCAGAGCAGCCTTCCCCAAACTGCATGTTCACAAGAATTCCTCAGAAAAATGACTTCCAAGGTCAGATAAATTTGGAACAAACTGGAAAGTTCAGCTCTTTCCTCCTAAAAATTTCCTCATGGCCTTTCATATGCTAACGTGCACCACAACTCTACCAGGAAACCCAGCAATGGATTTCCTCAACTTGTTTGGCCACAGAACCCCTTTTTGAAAGAATAGATGAGACACCTCCGAGGCCCCTTTTGTTGTGGGCACACAACCTGGGAACAGCATTCTCATTCTCCTTTGAGCTTTCTGGAGGCTGCTTCATGGATGAGAAATCCTACCCAGGGCCCTGGAGAGAACCCTTTGGTGGGGCCTGGAAGGAATGGCTCCCCAGAACTTGGTATTCCAGAAAGCTCCCAGCCTCCCAACCCTCCCCACCCCACACCCCACCTGCTGACTGCCTGGCACCAAGGGGCTACAAGTCTGGCTTCATGGGGCCCCAATGCAGGTCAGAAGGGAAGTCTCAAGGACCATTAGGACCTTTAGGCAGTAAGTTCCCAATTTCCCCCACCCAGCTTCCCCAAACCATCTTTTCCCTACCCCCACCCCTGCTTCCCCACCACCTGAAGCCACATCTATTAGAGAGATTTTGAAGGAGACTTCTGAGCCCTCCACCCAGCCCCGACTCCAGCCCCTCCAGCAACGAGTGTGCCCCAGCGCTCGACTTGGTTTTCTCATTCATCACTGTGCACTTTGATTTCTAACCTAAGCCTCGCGGATGATGCCAGTTTGTTCTGTGATTTTTCCCCTTTTCCTTCTCCAGATGTCCAAACGGATTCTTCGGACAGAGATGTTTGGAGAAACTGCCTTTGCGATTGTACATGCCAGATCCTAAGCAAAGTATGTTTGAAGATACAAACACAAGTCCCTGCTCCTTAGAAAGCTTCTGGGTGCAGTCCCCCCCACTCCCCCCCGTTGTAGGACATAGGGCCAGGGGTGCTGGTTGTTTTGATCTTTGGCTGTTTTTGTTTTCCTTTTCGTATTTTTGGTTTGTTAGTTCTTTTGTTTTGCTTTTTCATTTTTGGCCTAATCCTTGGGTTTAAAGTTCAGGGCTGCAGGTAAGGGGCAGAGTGGTGAGGCCGGTACAAATGGTTAACAGTGGCAAGGAACCCAACTGGCATTGGCAGGAGCCCATGCCGGGGTGTTGCAATGCCTGTGTCTTGCTATCCTGGCTCTCTCTTTCTGGTTTTCTTTCTTTTGGTAGGTGTCCTGTGGGATACACCGGGGACAGGTGTCAGCAGTTCGCAATGGTCAACTTCTCCAGTATGTCTCTTTCTTCTATTTCTTTCCTTCCCTGCTAACTGACAGTTCTTCCCCACCCCACTCCCCACCCCATGGGAAGGATGGGGGCCTTGCTTTCAGAGACTGGGGGAGGGGGACGCGGGGGTGTCCTCTCAGTCCTCATCAGACAACTCTGCGTCTTACCGAACCAAACTTGGGTCAGCTCACCCAACATGCAGCAAAGCTAACCTACCAAACCAGGTTGAGGGGAAAGAAAGAATAGCGCTTATTGCAAGGGTGGCAAGCAGAGGACATGAGCAACTCCAGGGAAGGGATTGGAAAGACTGTGGGTGGATGGGGTCACGAGGTATGTGTCCAGCTCGTGCTCAGGCTCTCACTGGCTGGTGGCGAGGGAACAGGGTGATGCTTCAGGAATCTCAGTGATCAACCTTCTGGCTCCACTCAGCCTGGGGCCTGTGTGGGGGTGGTCATCACCTGCTGGGGGTTTTAGTATCTGAAAAACAACTCAAGGGTATACCAGAGGTCCCAGACTTTGTTTTATGGCTAAACTCATATTATTTTGTCTTGTTTGATTGTTTTCCGTGGTTTCTGCACTTTCTCACTTCTCTAATTAAATGTGCTCTTTGGAACTCGATGAGAAAGGCCTGGGAGGCTAAAGCCTTTCTACAAACAAGAGGCAGGGGTGACTGGGGGGTCATTCCTGGGGAAGGACCTACAGGGCCCTGCTCAGTTTCATGCAGAGGGGACTGATACAGCTCCTGCCTCCTCTGCTTGGTCAGTCACACTGGAGTCTCTTTGCAGCTGGGCAGAGCCAGACTCGGGTCTCTTCTTCATCGGGGGTCAGGCAGCCTGGCCAGGATGGGAAGAAGCATTTGCAGAGCCCTCGCCTGCCTGCCTCTTGAGAGCCTGTTTGAGGATGTCAGGCTGTTGAGGGGGTTGGGCGGGGGGGGGGGGGGGGGGCGGGCGGCGCAGGGCTAGGCAGTGAGTGTGTGCTTGTGTGTTTGAGAGAGAAACAAGTTTTCAGAAAGCCTGCTTTTGGATCTGGGATCTGCCCAGAGTTTGTTTTGGTTTGATTTAGGGAGATGGGGGAGAATGGGGAAGAGGATTGAGGGAATACAGGCCCCAGGGCAGTGGTTTCCATGGAGACTAGAGACATCAATGCGACTAAATGTTGATGGAGGAGGAGGTTATTGTTCGTTGCTCGATTTGGGCTTCCCTAGTGGCTCAGCAGTAAAGAATCCACCTGTAATGCAGGAGACGTGGGTTCAATCCCTGGGTTGGGAAGATCCCCTGGAGAAGGAAATGGCAACCCACTCCAGTATTCTTGCCTGGGAAATCTCAAGGACAGAGGAGCCTGACAGGCTACAGTCCATGGGGTCCCAAAGAGCTGGATATGACGTAGCAACTAAACAACCAAGATTGTTAAAACATAGAGGGAGTAAGGAATGGAGGAGTAACTGGCGACTCTCTCCAGGTCCTCTCTGGTCTGAGTCCCCATCCAGGACTTCATTCTCTTCCTCTCTTCCACTTCTGAAGGTGGAACTTTCTGGTTTGCACAGTGTGCTGAGAATAGTGTGAGCCCTGGAGCTGGGGGATGAGGCCATGACTATGGCGGGTTTTATCTGGGGCTGGGAGCAGTTCCTTCAAGCGCCGTCAGGTGGCGGTGGAGCAGAGCAGAAAGCCACAGACTGGCCGTGGACTCCATCTGGGGCCCAGCGGTCCATGGCCCCCATCCTCCAGAGTTCACTAGGCCCCTAATCAACCTGCCATCCACCTCCTCCTCTCCAGGGAGGACAGATGGGTCCCCTGAGGAATTCAAACTGGATTGATGGTGCCTGACATGAAGGGGCCGAGGGCAGGCCCCCTAAGAAAAGGGATTTGGGGCTCAGGGTAGAGAAAGGAACCTCCCCACCCTTCTCAGACCATAGCACAAAAGCCTAGATGATCCCCCTCCACAAGAACCTGGAAGCCAAGATTTGACGAGGAGAGTGGAGGTGCCAGGGAGGTGGGGGCTGGTCAGCCCAGATGATCAACTATCTTAATAGAGTGTTGGGGGCAGCTCTCGCTCCATGCCCCTCCCATTGGAGGCCAGGGAGGAAGGCCGTGGGGATAGGAACTGAGCCTGTGGGCACGTGGCCCAACAAAATTCTCCTGAGCCCAGGCTCCAGGACCAACTGCAGAGTCAGATCAGCCCTGTTGGAGGACTGCAAGTCAGGAGGGTAGAGCAGCCAGGCAGGGCTGAGGACCAGGAGAGAGACAGTGAAGGGCCTTTTCCTTCTCCCCCTTCGGCCCAGAGCCTCCCTAGCTTATGGGACTGTTCTGGACAGGGAGTCCCAGTGCATCCTGAATCAGAGCAGTGGAGCCTCCAGAACTCGGCCGCCGTCCAAGCTTCCCTACCAGCTGGGCGTCTTCAGCTTTCAGCTCAGGTCTCCTGGGAGGGTCAGCCGGGCCCCGGGAGCCCAGGAAAGACTCTGGAAATGCAGCCTTTCTGCCTGGTGTTATTGGGATTCTTGCTGGCACCTTTTGATAAAGGATTTATACTCTTCAAGCACTTCACCCGGAGCACTTCATGCACTGCTCTATCAGATGCTTATTGAGAAGGGAGTGTAAAATGCTAACTTAAGTGTTCAGGCTTGGATTCAGAGGGACCTGAATAATATTGCCAGCAGCTAAGCTTACTGTTCTGGGGGCCTAATTTAGCTTCTCTGATTTTCTCATCTGTAAAATGGGGATAATGGCATCTGTGCCCTGAGGGTCGCTGTGAGGATGAAACAAAAGGAGACACACGACAGGCTTAGTTGAGGGCCTGCAGTTGTTGCTTGAACACAGCCAAGCTCTTCTCCCAGCTACTGCTAGCCTGGGGGTGAGGGCCCCCCAGAGGCTGACTCTCAGCATATCCTGAGCAAAGTGTCTGACCTTCCCCCTCTGTCCAGACAGCCTCTAGACCTACGGCCACAGTAACTTCCCCTTCTTCCCCTGACAACTCCTCCACTTCCTAAGAATCAAAACCTGTGCACCTGGATACCCCTCACGTACAAGAGCACCAATCTGCACACATACTCACAAACACACGAGCACATGCCTGCAGTTGCACACCAACACACACGTGTGCTGACACCTGCTTACACAGGCACACAAACACGAGCACATGAGCACATGCTCTTGGGTCCACCTCAGGACCTCCTCATCCAGGAGCCTGTGACCGTGTGTCTCAGGGCCTATCCAGGATGGAGACTTTGCCTGTTGTCTGATCAGCTGGCCCTGCTGGGAGTTGAGCAGCAGGTGACCATGGTTACTGGTCAGTATGCAAATTTCTGTCCAGTAGGACCTGTCTGTGACTTGTGTCACTCTATGCTGGCTGAGTGGCAATCAGTGAATATGATGAGCAGAAGGCTATTTGGGTTTTTGTTTGGTTTTTGTTTTGCTGGGGCTGACACAGCTGCAGGCCCCTCAGAATCCACCCATGGGGCAAGGGAAGCGGGGCTGCCTTCTAGTGGCCAGCCAAGCCCTCAGTCGCATAACCAGTCCTGCCAGCTACTGCTGTTGATCCAAGACAGTACTGGCCTTTGACTCAAAGGGGAGGCCAGTCAGGAGCCCCTGAAGCTGCTGCTGTACTGCTCGGTTCCCAGAGGAGCGATACAGGGGAAAACTCTTAAATGACTTTGGGAGCCCTGCTCACTTCTCCAGGTGGTCGTTGTCCTGAGGACTAGCCAGTCAGGCCTGCCCAGGGACTCAATGGGCACGAATAGCCATGGCTTAGCCCCAAGAGATCACAGACCTGGCCTGTAGCCTCCTTTCTGCCTCCAAATTTGCTGTGTGACCTTGGGAAAGTGTCCTAGCACCACTGGCCCCCAGCTGCCTCATCTAATACAAACACCACCACGAGTACAGCCCAAACTGGCTAAGTGACCATAGTTCTCTCAGCCTCTGGGGTGCTGTGGCCAAGTGGGCTCTTCTCTCTGGAGAGCCTGGGTGCATATCCAAATGCTGTGAGCTCTGTCGAGCTGCCTGGAGGGTCCCTAGTGCTACAGGATTAGCCGCTCAGTGAGAGCTGCCCCTGAGAGCCCCTTGAGTCTGTCAAGTTTGTGCTGCTTGCTTAGCATAGCTGGCCAGCCCAGGGAGCCCCAAGAGAGGAGAGGACTCGCTGTGTTAAGAACTCCTACCTTCTAAAGTACATGTAAGACCACAAAGAGGTCACCCTCAACCTCAAATTTAACAGGAGGGTTCATGTTTGGAAGAGCTGAGGTTCATGCTTCAAGGGTGTGGTCGCTGCCTGGAATCGAGGGGTCAGAGCCCCAGGATCTTCCTCAAGGCTCTTTCAGTCAGAGCCGTCCTGCTCTCTTGCCATTTTCCAATGGCAGAGCCCTCTGGACTCCCTGTCAGGAAGCAGAGGAGAAATCCAGGGCTGGACACACATGCCCATGCTCCCCTCCTCCACAGGAGATGAGATGAGAACCTCAGAACACAATTCCACCTCCTGGGCTCTGGGGGAGCTTGCTCTGCATGTGGGGAGGCCATGGAGAGGGCCCTGGCCCACCACCTTGCCCATATTCCTCTCCCTGGCTACAGGCTCCTTTGACACATGAGGAAACAGAAACTATGACTTGCCCCCCTACACGCACACAGCAAACTGGGGACAAAAGAGAGACTCGAAGCCCACACTCAGATGCCGGCTGCTACCGTAGAATGCTAGGTGCACTTTTCAAAAACATTGGGGAGATTTCTAGGCTCCCACCCCAGAGCCCGGTTCCGTTGGCCTGGATGATTCTGAAGCACAGCCGGGTTGCAGACCTTCCAGGGATCCCGTAGCCAGACCTGATCCCCTTTCAACAGATGAGAGACTGAGAGCCAGACAGGCAGGGAACTCTGGGGTCACACAGCAGGTCAGTGCAAGAGCTGATTCCTGGGCAGGCCCTCTTACCTGAGCCTTCGATGTCCTGGGCGACTACCTCGAAGGGCCGTGAAATTGCACATTCACATCATGATCCCACTTCAAGGAGCACAAATGACTGCCATGCAGGGGGCACAGGTGTTCTACAGGTGGCACGCTTGTCTCTTTCTCCAAGTGAAGTTTGCTTTCCTAAGTGGTGAAAGTAGGCTGACACCCCAAGGCCTCACCCCTGCAAGTTTCTAGGATGTTGGGGGTGTCAGGTGGAGAAGTGATCTGCTCCCCTCCCCAGTCCTGCTCCCCACAGACTCTGAGCCTCTATGCCAAGCTCCTAGTAGATGGGCAGGCCAGTGAGGCCCGAGGGGACAGAACAGGGACAAGGAGCCAGTCTGAGTACCCTCTGCGCTCATTCTGAACAGAAAAAAGGACCCCGTGAATGAGCTCAAGCAGAGCAGGCTGTCTCCAGGAGGGGCTGATGCTGGAGCTGGGAGGGGGAGTATAGGGATGCCTCGGACTCCTGCCCCCCACTCACTTTCCTCCCCGGGGACATCTGCCAACTGACTTCTGCCCCTCCCCACCAGGTACTAACCCCACAGCTCATCTCTAAAGAACCCGCCCTGCCTGCTGAGCCTAACCCTTCTTCTCCGTACCCCCCAGCAAGGGCTCCTGGGGGCTGGGTGCCAGGGAAGGGGCTCAGGAGGCTGGGAGGGAACCCCACTAACCTGCTTTCACCTCACAGGCTGCTGCTGGTGTCTGAAGAGTCCTGACCAACGTTTCTCTCTCTCTCTCTCTCTCCCACCCTTCCCCCATCTCTGTCTGTATCTCTCCCTCCATCCCTTCCCCCTCTGACCCTCCTCTCTCCCGCACTGCCAGAGCACCTTGGATTTGAACTAAAGGGTACGGAGCCTCTATGTATGGGTCAGCACCAACCACACAGCCCCTCTCCTCAGCCTCTGACACCATGTGTGCTGGATGTTGAGTTTCCTTTCCCCCAAAATGGAAAAGGGAGGATTTCAGAAATCCCCCTGTCCCTGCCAGGATATCCTATAGTAAACTACACTGATGGGGAGAAGAGAAAAGCTTATGCATGGCAAGGTGCCCTGGGGTTCAGACTGTGCCCAGTTACAGCAGCGCCCCCTTGCCTGGGGCTGATCACCAGGGTACTCAGGGGAACAGGCCCTGTGAGCTGTATGCGGCCCAGTGGGTTGGCCAAAAAGCCAGGTCCCTCGGAAAGTGGGTGTCCAGAAGCCACAGAATCTTGCTTCGGAGAACTGTGCAGAGAGGCAGCCCTTTCAATTTAACTTTAATCCTCCTTCCTTTTCCCATTTCCATTTCCATTGCTTTTCATTCTGCACCGGGCTGGCAGCTGATAACACCTATTTGTCTTCGCCCCCTGCCTCGTGTTTGTCTGCCAGGCTTTGCCATCTGCTTGAGGCTGTTACTCCCATCATGATCTGTCTCCACGAGGGCACGTGTGTTTGTCTATGGGCAGCACCAGCGAGGGTCTAGGGTGGGCTGGTACCTCCTGCCTCCCAGCTCAGAACCTTACCTCCCTCCCGTGACTGCCCTCTGGCCCCTGGGAGATGCCCTGGGCAGGAAGGAACTCTGAGGTCCATCTTCCCAGCTCTCTGGCTTTGTGCTGGGAGCCTCCACCCCAGTCCACACATATTATATAGCCGAAGAGAAGCAGGAGCTCAAGAGGGGTTGAGGCTTCGATGCAGTCAGACCTCAGATGTGTGCAGAGCTGGCAGTTATGAAAACGCTGTTCTTATGGCAGGTTTGGGGAGGCCCTAGTTCCCCCACCACCTAGCCGCCATCAGCTATTCTCAGAAGATGGAGCTGAAAGTCTATGTGTAAGAGTATGTCTGTCTGTCTATCTGCTGTGATGGGGTGGGGAGGAGAGGGGTCAAGTCTGTGGTGTCCGTGTGATCCTGACAGGGGACATGGGTGAATCTGTAGGGGTGTGTGTCTGTGTTGTTATGGGGGGCTGACGTGTTTACACCTCGTTGGGTCTCTCAGTGCAGGGTGTGAGCACACGGAGGGGTGCAGTGGGTGCAATCTTTGTTGTTAAGAGTTGAGCATGAGCAGTGGGTGTGGAGGCAAGTGTGAGCATCTATAATGTGACTGTCTGTAAAGGTGGTCTGTATATTCATTCAGTCAGCAACTCAAAAACATCTCCTGAGCCCCAGAGTTGGCCAGACCCTGGGGATCTAGCATGCAGAGTTGCTGCCCTCCTGGCAGAACAAGCAAACAAGAAAGATATCAGGTGGTGGTAAGCACTATACAGAAAATATCAGGTTAGCCAAAAACGTTGTTTGGATTTTTCCTTAAGATGTAATAGAAAAACCCAAATGAACTTTTTGGCCAGCCTAATAAAAGGAAATGGGACAGCACCTAGTCAAGGTGGGGACTGACTCTTAACTAAGTGATCAGAGAAGGTTTGTCCAACGAGGTGATGTTTGGGCTAAAACTTGACAGAAAGTAGCCAGCCCTGCAAACAGTAGGTGGGGGTAGAGTGTTTATGGTGGGGACACAGCAAGTTAGGGATGACATGGATGGGCCTGCCTTGTTCAGTGGGCAGAAGGACTGCCAGTGACTCTGGAACACAGCAGATATTGGGGAGAGGACCACAGATGGGATTGAAAGGAAGGGACCGGGTGACCCTGGGTCTTGTGGGCCACGGTAAGGCTTTAGGTTGTATTTGAATTGCAGAGGGATGCCAGTGTGGGTTTTTAAGCATCCTTAAAATGATCTGCTTTATGATCTTTGTGAGGAGTAAAGTGATCTGCTTTATGATTGGAAATCAATGTGGCTTTGGGGCAGAGAATAGACTGGGTGAGGGGACAGGATGTGGAGGAATAGAAGCAAAGAAACCAGTCAGACGGTGGACAGCTGTCCAGGGAGAGATGGCATCATCTTGGACAAAGCTGGAAGCCCCGGAAGAGGTAAGAAGTGGTCAGATCCGGGATCTACTTGGGAGGCAGAGCTGAGAGGACCTGCTGATGGATCAGGTACCAGAGTGGGTGGGAAGATCAGAAACGAATGATTCTGAGGCTTAGAGCCTGTATAGCAGGAAAAGTGGTGCTGCCACCGTAGAGATGGGAAGGGCACAGGGCAGGTTGGGGGGTGGGCAGAGGGAGTCAGTGCATCTGCTTGGCCATGGCCCTTGGCTATAGGAATCTGGAGCTAGGGGAGAAGTTGGTACAAGAGAGAGAAATGTGAGATTCAGCGGCATACAGATGGTATTTCCAGTCTGAGTCTGAGTGAGATGCTGGAGGGCGAGAGGGCATGTAGGGAGAGGAAGACGCCTGAGCCCTCTGGGTCTTTCTGCCCTGAGGCCCACATGGAAGAGCGGGGAGCAGCAGCTGAGACAGAGGAGCCAGTGCAGGAGGAGGAGATCCAGGGGAGGACTAGCCGGGGTCGTGAGCCCAGCTGGGGGAGTGCTGAGAGGGAAGTGAATGCACCAGAGGCTTGGCAGCAGGGGGTTGTTGGTGACCATGACCAGAGTGATGGAGACAGAGGCCTGACTGGAGGACTGAGTGGTAGCCGGGGAGGAGAACCACAGGCAGGATGAGGACCACAGAGCCCAGAGGTGGAGATCTTGGGTAAAGGGCTCTTTGTTTTACGACTTTGCATGACTGTGTGTCCGTGGGCCTGCTCACGTGCACAGTGGATGTGCGTGAGTGTATCCCTGTATCCCTGTGAAGGGTCTGTGTGTCAGCCAGGCATAGTCCTCCAGGTATGTGTGTCTGGACGTCTGTACCCAGTCTGTGCTTCTGGGTGTACATTTTCCACAGGAGATTCTGCAAGCCTGGGGGCCTAGGGACGTTGCCCAGGGTTCCACCAAGGTGTTGGGTCTGGTCCCCACTTATCCCAGTCCTGCTCAAAGGGAGCAATGTGGAAGGGCCAGCCAGCAGGTCCAAGTGGGAGTGAAGGTGACCATGTTGTGTGCTATCCTCTTTTTCCTTCTCTTCCTCCAGGCTTCTTCTTTTCTAGAAGGGTAGGGGCTGCCCCACCAAAAAATGGAGGTAGAGGGGATGGTCGAGTCTTTTTTAAGGTTCTGAGGCCCAGCCTAGCTCAGCTCCTTCAGAAGAGCAGAGGTCACTCCTGAGCACAGGGGTGTCCCAGGGAGCTGTGCTGTCACTTGTGGGCTCCCCACAGGCAGAGACGGGGGCCAGAGTGGGCCAGGGCCACAACTCTGACCAGGCTGTAGGGATAAACCAAAGCCTTTCTCCCCATGCCCGCCTCTGCAGGCCTGACCCACTCTGTCCCTGATCCTGGCACCCTTCCTAAAGCTAGGCTCTGGACCTGATGTCTAGAACAAGAACAAGTCCAAGAACAAGCTTGTTCTCTAGCCCTGAACAAGCCACTTTCCACCTTCCTCAGGAAGCCAAAGTGGCCAGGTCTCTGCCCACGGCCTGCATGTTCACCACTGTGAAGACCAGTTTCCCCAGCCTGTCAAGGCTCTTGGCAGCCACCAGGCCATAGTGGGTTGCCCTCCCCTATGACCTTGGGACCTTCACCTTCATCCCACCTCCTCCATCCCCCTGCATTTTCCACTCATCGGGTAGAGCACAGGGTTTGGGAAAGTGAACTCAGGGGTAGTCACTTGTGACCAGGTTCATGGGTGGGTGGAGTTCGGGAGAGCAGGAGGGAGGGAACTGACTGGGGAGGGAAGAGATGGATGGGAGCCCAAGGTATGAGGGGTAGGGGAGGGTCTGCACCCCTGCCTCTGTGGGTCTGCCCCCTGCCTGCCCCCTCACACCCTCTACCCCTGCAGAAGCTGAGGAACTGTACCAGAAGAGGGTCCTGACCATCACTGGGATTTGCGTGGCTCTGCTGGTGGTGGGCATCGTCTGCGTGGTCGCCTACTGCAAGACCAAGTGAGTTGTCGGCACTCAAGCCAACAAGGGGCTGCTTCTGTGGGGACGGGCTCTCCTCTCCGCTCCGCCATGCCTGGCCTGCCCCTTGCTCTTCCCCTCTGCCCCTTAGGGGCTTCGGCAGCTGGTGTGGCCAAGAAGCAGGAGCAGAGGGTGGGAGAGACAGACCCCAGAGGACTGAACAAGAGTGGTCATAAGCACAGGCATTGGAAGAAGACAGACCTGGGTTCAAATCCAACTCTGCCATTTCCTGTAACCCTATGGAAATTGATGAACCTCTCTGAGTCCTCATCTGAAAAATGGGCATGATCCTCGTATGTACCTCAGAGCATCCTGCGGGGAGCATCTGCCCTGTCAAGTAGGCAGACACTGGGGCAGTGTGGGGGTGGGGAAGCACAGAGAGGAAGGCCCCTTCTCAGGGAAAAGAGCTCAAAGAGAGTTGCCTGGCCCCACCTAGGAGCAGTCCAGGCAAGACACCTTCCAACACAGAGAAGGGGGGGTTGGGGCACCCCTGAGTGGAGGAAAGGTGACGTCAGAACCTTGGAGCAAGGGGAAGAAATGGGGCTGGACAATTCAATTTTTGCTTTGCAGAACAAAGCAAGCTAAAAGACAAATGCCAGGGAGTATTGACTGTGTTCATGGAGTTTGAGCAGCCCAGGCTAGTTGGAGCAAAGGGCGGGGGTCAAGAAAACAAGGTGCATGAGTCTAAAAGAACAGCTGGAGCCTGCATGGCACCATAGGGCCTTGAATGTCAAGCTAGGGAGCCTGGGTTTATCCTACGGATGGCAGGAAGCCATTGCAGGTTGTAAAGTGATGTAGTACAGAAAGAGGATTGTCACATCTGTTCTTATCTAGAAAGCAGGAATCTGGGCATGACCACCATTTGAGGGGCTGAGCCCTGGGGTCTTGGTTACTGCTGCCCCTATATATGAGATCAAAGGCCTTGCCAGCCTTGAGATTTAGGGCTCAGGGCCCACATAGGAAAACCGAGGCCCAAACCTTGGCATGGGGGGTGGGAAGCAAGCACCATGTTCTAACCTATACTACATTTACTCATTTCAAAAAACTTTAATTCAATGCCTGCTGAACAGACACTAGGCCCAGCAACCAGGCAAATGGCCAGGGCTCTAAGCAAGATGTGCGGGATCATGGGATATATTTCAGGGGTGCCTAACCTCAGCTGGAGGGCAGGAAGGATTTCCCTGAAAAAGGTGCATTTTAGCTGGGCCTCCGGGAGTTGGTGATGGACAGGGAGGCCTGGCATGCTGCGATTCATGGGGTTGCAAAGAGTCGGACACAACTGAATGACTGAACTGAACTGAAGTTAGCTCGACTCAGAAGTTAACAGGTGAAGGGGCACAGAATGTGCTGCAATTAAATGCAAAGGCCCGGAGGCCAGAGAGGCACAATGTCGGATCAGAAACAAGCCCTCCAAGGATGCAATGAGCGGGGGTGTGGAGAGATAGTACTAGGGAGAGGGACAGGATGCTGAAGACCCATGAAGGGTTTGTAGCAGGAGAGTGACATGATTAGTCTTGTCGATTACAAAACAGATGTACTGAGCTCTTAACGTGTGCCCAAGGAAAGAGGCCCCACAGGTCTTGTTTCCCTGACCACAGCATCCTGTTTTATTTTTTTCATAGCACTTTGCTGAAAGTACTTGTTTATTTATTTTTATTATTTTTTATTTTTTATTTATTTTTATTATTATTAGGAGAGACAGATGATGTGTTTATCATCTGCCTCTACTACTGGTCTGCAAGCTTCTTGAGGACAGAAACTATATGTCTTCTCCGCTTCAAAACTGCATCTTTGCTTTGTTCAGTCACTAAATCACCTCTGACTCCTTTCAAACCCCTGGACTGCAGCCTGCCAGGCTCCTCTGTCCTTGGGATTTCCCAGGCAAGAATACTGGAGTGGAATGCCATTTCCTCCTCCAGGGGATCTTCCCGACCCAGGGATCAAACCCGCGTCTTCTGCATTGGCAGGCGAGTTCTGGCACATAGTAAAAACCCAATCAATACCAAATAAATGAATGAATGAGCAAGTGGGTCAGCACTGTGCTTGAATATCTTATCTACTCTTCATACTCAGTGGTCTTTGAAATGGATAGATGATCAGTCCATTTTACAGATGAGGAAAGTGGAGCATGGAGAGTTTAAGTAACTTGCCCAGAGTTACACAGCTAGAAAGTAGAGTTCTGCTATCTCAGCAGAGCCAAAGCTCATTACCACTACACTCAGGTACTGCTGAATGCAGGCTGGTAGTGATGATGTAGGGGTTGATTGAAGGGGTCCTGGCTGAGGGCAGCCTGAGCCCAGGAAGAGCAGTAGCAGGAGACGCCATGGCAGTCCAGGGCACAGGTAGCCCAGTTCCCTGGAGTGACAGCTAGGGGAGTTCCTGCTTTGTGTGTGTCGTGGGGTATGGAGGTGCCAGGCTAATGCACCTTCTCCTGCAGGAAACAGCGGAAGCAGATGCATAACCACCTCCGACAGAACATGTGCCCTGCCCACCAGAACCGGAGCTTGGCCAATGGGCCCAGCCACCCCCGACTGGACCCTGAGGAGATCCAGATGGCAGACGTGAGTGGTGATCCCTGGCCCCACTCTGACCCCTCGCAGTAGAACCCGCCTTCTCATGCCCCCTGCAAGAATGGGCCAGGGAGGCAGCAGCCCATCCTGGGCTCAGCCTTGCCTGCTAGCCTGGCCTCGCCTCCCCAGGATGACTTAGCCTTGCTTGGCCCACTTCCTCAAGGGAGGTCAGGGGCTGGACTTCCAGGAGCCACTGCTGCCCTAACACTGAGTCACATATCCAGTGAGCCATCCCCCCCCATCACCTGAAGCTTACTGTCTCATTTCCCCAGGCCCACCAGGAAGGAGGGCCAACTTGGTCATCTGTCACTAACTGCCCCCCTCAAACTCTCTGTTGCAGTATATCTCCAAGAATGTGCCCGCCACAGACCATGTCATCCGGAGGGAAACAGAGACCACCTTCTCTGGGAGCCACTCCTGTTCTCCTTCTCACCACTGCTCCACAGCCACGCCCACCTCCAGCCACAGGTGGGCACCACCACAGAGCCTTGCAGACTCCTGTATGCACACCCACAGGGCGTGCACACATGCATCATACACCTGCCTGGGGACACACACAAAACCCCAGCCAGGCTGGGCTCTGTATTAAGGGTCCTAGTGAGCCAGAGGATGGAGGTGGGGGGATTCAAGCCAGAACCCACCACCAGATGTCCATCCAGGTCAAGAAACGGGATTCCCTTTTCTAGTCTAAACCAGCCCCAGAGGAGCAACAGCATCACTGTGCTCCCATCTAACATTCAGTTCTGTTTGGATGTCATCAGCACCACTTCATCTGGCAAAAAGTGTCTGGTCCCTCAAGTACCCACAGCTATTCAGTGTCCTCTCCTGGGGTTTCCACGTGAACCTAATCCACCTGAGTGTCCTCTCCAGAGGCAGGAAGGCCTGTCTACACAAGCACAAAGTCATACAGCTCTAAAAAGAACATGGTTGACCCCTTTCTTCCCTGGGGAGCGGGGTCCCTGTATATTGGCCACTGGGGCTGGGTGCTTGCGGCAGGTGTTCTGGGACCACAGGAGTGGAAGGGGTCACAGCCGAGGAGACCAAGGGGAGGTTGTTGCAGGGAGGAAAGGAAAAGGGCTGTGTGCACTGCAGCCCACATCCACAGGCCTTCAGCTCTCCTTCTCCTCAAATTGGGATTTAGCATTTACGATACTACACATCAGCTCAGAGTGGAGGACAGTGAGCTGAGGGAGACTGAGAGGTGTGAAGAACCAGGGCAGGGGTGGGCCTGGGACCACACATGCTGGGCTGCCCTACCCCTTCCTGTCCCCTCATGTCACTCCCACCTGGCTTCTCCAGGCATGAGAGCCACACATGGAGCCTGGACCGTTCTGAGAGCCTGACCTCTGACTCCCAGTCGGGCATCGTGCTGTCATCAGTGGGCACCAGCAAGTGCAACAGCCCAGCGTGTGTGGAGGCCCGGGCACGGCGGGCAGCGGCCTACAGCCTGGAGGAGCGGCGCAGGGCTGCCGTGCCACCTTACCACGACTCCATAGACTCCCTGCGTGACTCCCCGCACAGTGAGAGGTCAGTCCCCGTGACCTGCGCCCACCTCAACCATAGAGCTGGCACCACTGACCTGGGGCCGATCCTGTGGTCACCTCAGAAACATTCCCAAGAGCCTCATCCCCCTTTTTCAGATGGGCAAGCAAGGTTCCTGAAAAGTTCAATGTTCTGCTTAGGGTCATTAACATGTTAATGACAGGCTGGGACTCCAGCCAGTAGACCCTAGTGTGTTATGACTATTTAATTTAATTGTCCTACTAGGACACTTTTCAGAGTGGAAGAGAATGTTACTAATAATCGCACTGGAACATCAGGAACAAACAGGGGCTGTCCTGGACAAACCAGAACATATGGTTGCCCTATGCTGGTGTCACCTAGAGGCCCCATGTCCTAGGAGAAACAGACACCAAGATCAAACAGATGAGAGAGTGGGAGGAGAGGTTGTCTGTGAGGAAACTGATCAGTGCAGGATGGGAATGAGTCAAGAATGCCTGAGGCCCTGGAAGCATCAGCGTCTAGGCCACCATGGATCAAGATGCCATTGGGTTCCCAAGCAATGAATGCAGTGAGAACCAGGAAATCCCCTTCTTCCCTGACTCACAGGCAGGAGTCACAGGGGCCACAGGGGCCAGGCTGCATCTTGCTCAGCCCTCAAATGGCCTGTTGGCAAGTAGGATCTCTGGGAGGAGAGCAGAAAAAGGGGCATGGTACTAGGAACTCTTCAGATGGTAAAGAATCTTCCTGCAATGCAGATGGCCTGGGTTTGATCCCTGAGTAGGAGAGATCCCCTGGAGAAGGGAATGGCTACCTGCTCTAGTATTCTTACCTGGAGAATTCCATGGACAGAGAAACCTGGAGGGCTACAGTCCATGGGGTCGCAAAGAGTCGGACACAACTGTGTGACTAACACTTCCATTTTCACAAGGAACTCCAAGCTAGGGTGGAGAAGGCTCAACTCAGCCTATTCCATGCCAGCCAACGGCACAAACCACTGAAACTCCCAGCTGCCCATGAAAAGAGCTAAACATAGAACACCCTACTAGGTTAGAGAAAGCGTCTGACCACAGGCTCTGGGAAGTAACTAGGTTTTTCTAATACTAACCTTTCTAAACCCAGTTCCACCACCTGTGTGACTTGAGGCAGGTTGATCACTCTGTGCTTTGGTTTCCTCAGCTGTAGAACAGTGAACATTAAACCTGTCTCATGGCTCTTATGAAGGCTACCTAAGATCAAGCTCAAAGCTCTTTGTCTCATACCTGACATGGAGCTTGTGCTCACTAGGTGGAGCTGTGGTTATCAACAGTAACAAGAGCAATAGGACTCCTTGATGGGTGGAGGTAGAAAGTTGGGGAGGGACTTCTGGGCGAGGGGAACACCATGAGCCCTTCCAGTAGAGGCACTGAGGACAGAGCTGGTGAGTGAGGCACCTCGAGGTGTGGGGAGAGGGAAGCTGGGCGTAAGCAGGCAGGCTGGGGCTAGATAGACAACCAGTGGCCCTGGGTGGGTAAGCATGAAGGGCCTCCAAAAGCAGAGATGTGACTTTAAAAGATTGTTCTGGGAAGTGCATAGGCTGAAGGAAAGATCCTGGGGTGGGAGCATGAAAAGACTGAACATCCAGTCCCAGGATGGAGTAGAGCAGGGTGGAGGGTTTGATCCGGGAGAAAGGGAGTGGATAAGACTTGATGGATGTACATGTGGAAAATGTGGGAGAGGGAAGACAGGGGAGTCAGATGATTCAGAAAGACGGTATAGGGACTTGAGGAAGCAGTTAGGTGCCCAGCTCTACTGTTTGAAAGAGAGGCAAGGAGGTGAGGTAGACAATGGCTGGGCAAGAGGCTGGTTTACCCAGAAAGGGAAATGTGGAGAAAGAAAAGGGACTGGTGCCTGGGACTCAGACTGGGAGATATTTGGAAGGGCAAACTTTTGAAGGAACTGGTGCTCTTTAGCTCCAAGCGGAAATGCTTCAGTGTGGTCTTGGTAACTGTGCTCTGGGCTGAGCTCCTACTTGAGGTGGGAACAGTCACTTCCCTGAGGCAGATTTTAGCTTCACCTTAAAAAGGAATATTTCCCCAGTGTAGCCATCAGCCAAGGGATGAACTGTCCATGAGGGAAGGGGAGTCCAAGTCACCGGGGTGACTGAATGCAGGGACTAGCATGAGTAATCGGGCAGTGTGAGTCCTGGTTTCTGCCTGTTGTTGTTCAGTCGCTCAATTGTGTCCAACCCTTTGCAACCCTGTGAACTTCAGCACACCAGGCTTCCCTGTCCTTCACTATCTCCCAAAGTTTCCTCAAACTCATGTCTATTGAGTCGATGATGCCATCCAACCAACTCATCTTCTGTCTCCCCCTTCTCTTCCTGCCCTCAATCTTTCCTAACATCAGGGTCTTTTTCAGTGAGTCTACTCTTCGAATCAGATGGCTGAAGTAAACTGGAGCTTCAGCATCAGTCCTTCCAATGAATATTCAGGATTGATTTCCTTTACAATTGACTGGTTTGATCTTGCTGTCCAAGGGACTCTCAAGAGTCTTCTCCAGCACCACAGTTTGAAAGCATCAGTTCTTTGGTCCTCAGCCTTCTTTATGGTCCACCTCTCACATCCATACATGACTACTGGAAAAATCATAGCTTTGACTAGACAGACCTTTGTTAGCAAAATGATGTCTCTGCTTTTTAATTCTCTGTCTAGGTTTGTCATAGCTTTTCTCCCAATGAGCAAGCATCTTTTATTTTTCATGGCCGCAGTCACCGTATGCAGTGATTTTGGAACCTAAGAAAATAAAGTCTGTCACTGTTTCCATTGTTTCCCCATCTATTTGCCATGAAGTGATGGGACCGGATCACACGATCTTAGTTTTCTAAGTGTTGACTTTTAGGCCAGCTTTTTCACTCTCCTCTTTTACTTTCATCAAGAGATTCTTTAGTTCCTCTTCACTTTCTGCCATTAGGGTGGTATCATCTGCATATCTGAAGTTACTGATATTTCTCCCAGCAATCTTGATTCCAGCTTGTGATTCATCCAGCCCAGCATTTTGCATGATGTACTCTACATATAAGTTGAATAAACAGGGTGACAATATACAGCCGTGATGTACTCCTTTCCCAATTTGGAACCAGTCCATTGTTCCATGTCTGGTTCTGTTGCTTCTTGTCCTGTATACAGGTTTCTCAGGAGGCAGGTAAGATGGTCTGGTATTCCCATCTCAAAGAATTTTCCAGTTTGTTGCCATACACAGTCAAAGGCTTTATCAGAGTCAATAAAACAGGACTAGAGTTTTTCTGGAATTCTCTTGCTTTTTCTGTGATCCAACAAATGTTGGCAATTTGATTTCTGGTTCCTCTGCCTTTTCTAAATCTAGCTTGCATATCTGGAAGTTCTCGGTTCACTTACTGTTGGAGCCTATCTTGAAGAATTTTGAGCATTTCCTTGCTAGCACGTGAAATGAGCACAACTGTGCAGTAGTTTGAACATTCTTTGGCTTTTGCCCTTCTTTGAGGTTAGAATGAAAACTGATCTTTTCCAGTCCCGTGGCCACTGCTGAGTTTTCCAAATTTGCTGGCATAATGAGTGCAGCACTTTAACAGCATCATCTTTTAGGATTTGAAATAGCTCAGCTGGAATTCCATCACCTCTGCTAGCTTTGTTCATAGTAATGCTTCCTGAGGCCCACTTGACTTCACATTCCAGGATGTCTGGCTGAGTGATGGTGAGTGATCACACCATCATGGTTATCCAGGTCACTGAGACCTTTTTTATACAGTTCTTCTGTGTATTCTTGCCACCTCTTCTTAATCTCTTCTACTTCTGTTATGTCCTTACCATTTCTGTTCTTCATTGTGCCCATCTTTGCATGAAATTGTTCCCTTGATACCTCTAATTTTCTTGAAGAGATCTCTAGTCTTTCCCATTCTGTTGTTTTCCTGTTTCTTTGCATTGTTCACTTAAGGAGGCTCTCTTATATCTCCTTGCTATTCTTTGGAACTCTGCCTTCAGCTAGTGTATCTTTCCCTTTCTTGGTTCCTTTTCACTCTCTTCTCAGCTATTTGTAAGGCCTCCTCAGACAACCAGTTTGCCTTCTTGCATTTCTTTTTCTTGGGGATGGTTATAGTCACCACTTCTTGTACAGTGTTATGAACCTCTGTCCATAGTTCTTTGGCACTCTATCAGATCTAATCCCTTGAATCTGTTTGTTACTTGCACTGTATAATCATAAGGGGTTTGATTTAGGTCATACCTGAATGGCCTGGGTTCACATCCCAGCTTGACCACTTCCTGTGGCTGTGTGAACCTTGAGTAAGTCACTTAAATGTTTTTGAGTCTCAGTTACCTAAGGAGTACTATGGCATTAACAGAAGCCTCTTACAGATTTACTGTATTAGATGACCTGGCACACGTAAAATGCCCCAGCCTAAGCCTGATCCAAAGTAACCATTCAGGAACACTGGTGTCTGTGAACATCCGCACAACCAAGGGCCACTGATTCCATATGTGTATGGAATCACCCAACAATGCTATGGAATGACCACTGTGTTTATTCCTGATTCACAGATAAGTAAACCAAGGATCAGAGAAACTAAGGAAATTGATTAGGGTCACTGAGGAATACCAGCATGGCTCCTGCGGGAGGGATGCTTTGCGTCAGGGCTGCCCCATCCCCTGGCCACCAGCCCATGTCTCTCTGCCTCTCCCCACAGGTACGTGTCTGCCCTGACCACGCCCGCGCGCCTCTCTCCTGTGGACTTCCATTACTCGCTGGCCACTCAGGTGCCGACTTTTGAGATCACGTCCCCCAACTCGGCGCATGCCGTGTCGCTGCCTCCCGCCGCGCCCATCAATTATCGCCTGGCGGAGCAACAGCCGCTCCTGCGGCAACCGGCGCCCCCCGGCCCGGGACCGGGGCCTGGGCCCAGCGCGGACATGCAGCGCAGCTACGACAGCTACTACTACCCCGCAGCGGGGCCGGGGCCGCGGCGAGGGGCTTGCGCACTGGGCGGCAGCCTGGGAAGCCTGCCCGCCAGCCCCTTCCGCATCCCGGAGGACGACGAGTACGAGACCACGCAGGAGTGCGCGCCCCCGCCGCCGTCGCGGCCGCGCGCCCGCGGCGCGTCCCGAAGGACGTCGGCGGGGCCTCGGCGCTGGCGCCGCTCGCGCCTCAACGGGCTGGCGGCACAACGCGCACGCGCGGCGCGGGACTCGCTGTCGCTGAGCAGCGGCTCGGGAGGCGGCTCGGCCTCGGGCTCGGACGACGACGCGGACGGGGCGCTGGCTGCCGAGAGCACGCCTTTCCTCGGCCTGCGCGCGGCGCAGGACGCGCTGCGCTCGGACTCGCCGCCACTGTGCCCGGCGGCCGACAGCAGGACTTACTACTCCCTGGACAGCCACAGCACGCGGGCCAGCAGCAGACACAGCCGCGGGCCGCCCCCACGGGGCAAGCAGGACTCGGGGCCCCTCTAGGGCCCCCGCCGCCCCCTCCGCCTCGCCCGCCCCACTGTCTTTAAGGAGAACAGAGACCGCCGACTGGAGAGAGAAAGGAGGAAAAAGAAATAAAAATATTTTTATTTTCTATAAAAGGAAAAAGGTATAACAAAATGTTTTATTTTCATTTTAGCAAAAAATTGTCTTATAATACTAGCTAACGGCAAAGACGTTTTTATAGGGAAACTATTTATATGTAACATCCTGATTTACAGCTTCGGAAAAAAAAAGAAACAACAACAAAAAAAAGAGAGATGGGCCAATTTTTTGACTCTTTAATAGAAACCTATATTGTGGTGCCTTTTGCTGTACGCTAATATGGAGCTCCTGGAGAGAAGTGTGGGTTGCAGGGTTGGGGGAATGTAGGATCCCAAGCTGGCGGGGGGCAGAGGTGGGGGGCGGTGAAGAGGAAGCAGAGAAAAGAGGCCACGTGTTTGGGTTCGGGTGGGGGCGAGGGTAGAGGGGTCCCAAGGAAGAAAGTGAGGTCCGGAGTAGCTTTTGCTCCCTCGTTAAGATCTGGAGTTCTGGTCCCCCTTAGCTGTGGGTGGGGATCCTAGGCTTGGAACTAGAGTTGGGTCAGGTAAAATCCAGGGGGAGACTTAAGGCCCAGCGACAGCAACCAGAATGGGGAGGGGGCCTCCCCGCTCCTCACAGCTGCTAAGGAGGGGGGCTCTGAGAAACAGGTCTTCCCAACAGCCTCTGCGGGGGAGGGGGCAGCTCTGCCTGGGCCCCAGTGTTCGCGGCTCCTCCTCCCCTGTGGCCTCCAGGACGCCCGTCCGTCCTCTGCAGCACCTTCGTTTACAGGTCGTCTTTTCTATTTTACGCCTGCATGTCCTTTGCATTTCAGATTCTTTAGATTGGATGCATGGTCACACTGGGACCGAGAAGAGCCACTCAACAGTGTATTTGGTTCCCCTTTTAGCAATAAAGTAACACCATTTCCTTCTCACAGCCGGACTCCCATCCCCCAGCCCACCTATGACTTCCACTTCCTCTCCAGCCCTGACCTCACCACCCCACAAAACTGGGTCCACTGCTAATTTGTCAAAAAGTTAATTGTTTAAAAAAAAAATCCTAAACAAATGGGAACCCTGCCCCTTGAAATGTCCAAACACCTGACTGTTGACACTTGAACATTTTTATATTATAAATAAAATCAGAAATAACTCATGTTTGACTGTGTGTGCCTAGCCCCTAGGTGAGGAGGGAAGACAGAGGATGAAGATCTGTGATAGAGATGGATGGATTTTGGTGTGGAGGTTGTAGAGAGCCAGAGCAGTTCCTGGGAGGAAGTGTGTTAGTCACTCAGTGGTGTCTGACTCTTTGCGACCCCATGGACTGTAGCCCACCAGACTCCTCTGTCCATGGGATTCTCCAGGCAAGAATACTGGAATGGGTAGCCATTCTTTTCTCCAGGGGATCTTCCAGAACCAGGGATTGAACCCTGGCCTCCAGCATTGCAGGCAGATTCTTTAACGTCTGAACCAGCAATTGGGGGGAAAGAGACCCTCCCTTCAGTCTCGCTGGCTCCAACTCCCAGAATGGGATCCAACCCTCCTCCCTTTTCCTGAGAACATTCACCAGGTGTCCCCCAACACCTCTCCCCTACCACCCCATGGCTGCTGGGGAACCTGGCCAAGGGGCTGATGCAGATTACTCTGCTTTGAGCTCAGCCTCAGAACGCTGGCCCAGTTCCTGCCCTGGAGCTCCAGGGGGCAGAATGAGGCAAGAGTTTCCAGGCCTAGGTGGGTGAGAAGGGAAGGGTTGTAAGGTTGGCACTGGAACAGCTGAGGCAAGATGACCCTTGGGGCCTCAGGCATGTCACAGGCAAAGTCTGGACATGAAAATGGCATAATGGGTACCCTCAGCTGCCAGGAGGTGCTGGGGTTTTTTATACCCCCTCAAAGCCAGGGCCTGTCTAAACTTGCAGTCTCTGATGGAGAGTACATGATCTCAGGCATAGAGAAGGCAGATGGAGGTCCAGGGTGAGCCTTTTCTCCCTCATTGATTAATGTTACTAAGTCGGTACCCAGCACTAGGAACCATTAGATTCCAGCCAGACACAAAGGAGCCAGCTATTCAAAGAGTTCAGGTGGTTGATGTGTGAGGGTGCACACAATGAGCCCAGAACTTGTGTGGTCAGTTCAGAGACCTATGGATAGGAAGGATGGAGAGGCCTAGGGTTGAAATGGCTTGGGCATCAACAGGGCCTGAACTCACAAATTCCAGCTCTGCTGTGTGACTTCTCTAGGCTGCACTTTGCTCAGCTGGGAAATGGTGATGCTAATACCTACCTCAAAGCATTGCTGTAGAGATCATATAAAGCACCCAGGATTGCTTCTAGCATATGATAATTGCCTATTAGTGGCAAATTTGATGGTGATGACCATATCCTGTGCTTTGCATTCTTGAGTCACACAAAGAGTGGCAAAAACTGGATGAAGGGGAGATGATACAGAAAAGTAAAAAACTAGACATGTATTTATGTGGGGACACGGGGGAGGAGGGGGGACTGTTACAAAGAAACAAAATTAATGAACTAAGTGCTATACAAACCTGCAAATCATTGACTTCTCCAGCCCCTATCTGATGATCTCATCCAGATCCTTGTGCTGGCTCTGAGTTTGCTGTTGGCTTTAAAATATTCTGAGAGCCAGTCATATCTCTGTGTGATTTATGATCTGTATGAAAACCCAGAATAATTTTGAATGAACCTCTTGGTGAGCCCATTGCCCTTTTCATGACCCAGTTTAATGTCCTTATTTGACCCTTCTGAGGGCCTGAGTTACCTACCTTCTAAATTTTCACTCAGAAACCACTTTCCTGACTCCAGTGAGCACACTGACCTCTTTATGACCCCAAGTAATTATGAATGGCCTCTCAGTGAACCCATTGACCTCTCTATGATCCCAACTAATTGTGACTGACCTCTCAGTGAACCCATTGCCCTGTTCATGACCCAGCTTCATGTCCTCATTTGACCTTTCTGAGGGCCCAAGTTACCTACCTTTTCAATGTTGACTCAGAAACCACTTCCCTGACTGAGCACACTGACCTATGACCCCAAGTAATTGTGAACGACCTCTTGGTGAACCCACTGACCTCTCTATGACCTCAACTAATTATGAATGACCTCTCAATGAACCCATTGCCCTTTTCATGACTCAGCTTAGTACACTCACTTGACCCTTCTGAGGGTCCTAAGTTTTTACCTTCTAAATTTTTAATCAGAAACCACCTCCATGATTGCAGTAAATCTATCTATCTCTATGTCACCCCAATTAATTCTGAATCACCTCTTGATAAACTCATTGACCTTCACATGATCCCACTTGGTACCTCCATTATCTGGTCTGAATTCTAAGATACCTGCTGAGAGTCTAAGACCAGAATCTAATCAGTTTCCTTGACTCTTTATCCTATCCGCCACCTGTTCATTCACAGGTGTGAATGGAACCTAGGAGCAGGGGTGGCCAGAGAGGCCCCCTTTTCACTCTGCCTCTCCAGTTCTACTTTGGGGCATCTTTAAGTTATGGCCCACTAGGAAGAAGTATAGGCCTAAGAAGGGGCTTACTACTACCATCCTGTCCCCCAGGAGCACTTAGGACATTCAGGAGGCTTCCTGAATCAGTCTTCCCCACTCCTCCGATTCTTCTCTCGGCCAGGTCATTTTTGTCTTGTCTCCCCAGCCCTCCCAGAGTCCCAGATGGAAATGGTGACTGACCATCTCCCTCCGCATTAGACTGTGAGCCCCATGTGGACAGGGATCTGGTCAATCCTTTTCTCACGGTAGTATCCCCAGCACCCAGCACAATGTGCAGTGCTGTTCTTCTCACTGAATGAGCACATGGAGGCTCTTCAAGAGAGGCTGTCCTCACGGGGCAGCCCCCAGGGGTCCCTGAGACTGCAGCCACTTCCCAGGACCACCAGGTGGCGCAAACCACTTATTGCATCTCACCTGCTGTCCTCCAAGGCTCTGGATTTGGACAGTCCTGGGAAATGGACATATTAAGGGTAGAGGGAACATGTGGTCCATTGGAATGCAGAAAAAAAAATTAGAACTTTGCTTTAGATTTATTTTCATCTCATCTTTTTAAAATTTCTATTTTGTGTATGTTTTATAATGTACATAATATTTTAGTACAGTAGTACATGTATATAATTTACAATAAATAATTATACAATTAAGAAAGTGAACTAAAAGTTTTTTTTAACTGATGGGAGGCACAACTCGTGCTCAGGGAAGCACACCTGTCTGCAGCGGACGGAGCCTGCTCCTCTGCTTTCACTCACCCACCCTCAAGAGGTGGAAGGTGGGAAGCAGACCCCAAACTCAAAGGATCTTTAAGACAGCATAGAGAAAAAGTACAGAGAGCTTTTTATGTTGCCACATTGCTCTTTCAATTTCACTTAAATGAACATTAACTTCCCCTCAGCAAAATGAAGGTGCCAGATGGTTTGGTTATAAAATACACTCAGCTGATCCAAATTAAATAATCTGGATTTAAATCACTACATCTCTCCACAGATTCACAGGTCCCTTGCATCAAACGTGAGTGGGCTTGTAAATGTCGGGTACTTAGTCGCAAGGTTGGCTTATCTTATTATCTAAATATATTACCACTGAGGTCAAACTGCTGGCCAAACTACAGTAATCTGTTTAAAAAATAGGATTACTCATCACAGTTGCATTGAGGGTGCCATCACCCCCACCACTTGTCAGTCTGAGGAATGCAGGGTTTAAAACATGCTAGTCTGTGATCATCACGTGGCAAATTATCCTTTCCAGACATGTCCTTAACTAGCATTTCTGAGTCACTCAAAGAGTGTAAGAAATATCAGCCTTAACAATCAACAATTTGTCATTCCACATTTCCCCAAGACCAAGAATTAATGGCTTCCATAAGCTTCCCCCACCAAACATCTTTGGGTTTGTTGACAAGTGGCTATTTGCAAGGCAGAGTGTCTTTTATTCCTGTAGCAGTAGATCTGTACAAGAGGTCACCTCTGGGCCCAAGAGACCTGGCAGCACCAACATAAAGACCAAAATAGAAGCAGGGCCACGGTCCCATCCCACTCACACCCCAGGACGCCTGTGGGACAGACGGGGCAGCACACACACACACTGTTTATTCCAAAGCATTAACTGTAAGAGCAGTTTAAATCACAGGTCAGCCGGAAGAGGGGAAACAGGGAGAGAGGAGGTCACACTATCTCTATCTTCTCTTCCAGAGAGTCAGAGCCTCCAGGGGCCAAAGAGCAGCCCTCCTCACTAACAAGTGTATCTGAGATAGGCTTTTCCATACCTCATTTCATCCTCTGATATCAGTTCCAAAACCATCTCTAAAGGGGTAGTCTATATATGTATATAATTCTTATATATATACATTTATGTCCATATAAAAGCAGTAGTGGTCTTGATGGATGGAAGGTGAGGTGGACTTGAGTAGAGACAGCTTGGCACTGAGGGACAGGCCTGAGAGCTGGGTTATTGCCGGGCAAGGCAGGAGAACGGGGTGCAGTTCCCAACGCTGCTGAGTGGAGGGAGAAGAGGACAGTGCTGGTGGTCTGCAGACCTGCTGCTGGTCAACTCAGAGGAAGGAGGAAGAGGAGGCGTGGGAGTCCAAACTGAGATCTGGGGTTGAGACCTACCCTCAGAAACAAGGGAGATGAGGGGAGGAGCTTGTGAGAAGAGGAAAGCCTGGGAAGCCAACCGCCCTTCCTGCTTCTCCAGTGAGATGGTATCTAGAGCATGCACACAACTGGCCTACAAACAGGCTCCAGGGTGGAGAGGGAGGTGAGGGCTTGGGGAGAGGCTCTCAGGCCCAGAGCAGCCCTAGGATACAAGATCGACACCATGAATAGCATCTACATCTCCTTAGCCCGCAAGGCTCTCCACACCCCTCTGGCTGCCTAACAACTGTCTGGAGCTTGTCTGAGTGGCCCCTATCTGGAATTGTGCTCACTGGCCCCTCCAGGGGCATTGCCTGCCTCTGAGGCCTGCCCATCCTTGCCAGCTAAGTATCAGACCCAGTGGTATCCCTCGGGGCTTTGTTGCCAGTCACAGTCCCATGGCCCTGGCTGAGGGCAGGGCTCGAGTGTGTCTTGCGGAGTGAAGGGTCATCACCCTCCAGGGTGGCCATCCGGGCCTCAATCCGCTCCAGGTCATCAGAGCCCACTTTGATCTTCACAGCCAGGAGGTGGATATAGGTCTCATAACGGCTTTTCTGGGAAAAGAGCAGAGAAAGGCCAAAGACAAAGTCAAAAGATAAACAACAAATTGAAAAAAAAACAAACAAAACATTTGTACCTTATATGACAAAAGACTCTCTCCTGGATATTTAGAGAGTTCTCACCAATCAGTAAAAGGAGATAAACAATTTTAAAAACAGGCAAAGGGCATGCACAGAAATTTAACTCATAATTTTAAAAATCAAAATTAATTGGCAATGACTTATTGGATATGATAGCAAAAGCATAGGCAATGAGAGTGAAAATAGACAAATGGGGTTTTATCAAAATTTAAAACACCTCTGTATCAAAGAACACAATCAATAGAATGAAAATGCAATCTACAGAATGGGGAAAATATTTGCAAATCATTAATCTAGTAAGGGTCTAGTATACAGAATATTAAAAGGGGGAAAAAACTCCTAGAACTCAACAACAAAACACAGCCCAATTTCAAGATGTATAAAGGACTTGAATAGACATTTCACCACAGAAGATACATTAATGACCAATAAGTACAAAAAAGGATGCTCAGCATCATTTTGCTGCTGTTGTTCAGTTGCTAAGTCACGTCCAATTTTTGCAACCCATGGACTGCAGCACACCAGGCTCCTCTGTCCTCTACAAACTCCTGGAGTTTACCAAAATTCATGTTCATTGAATCAATGATGCTATCTAACCATCTCATCCTCTGCCACCCCCTTCTCCTTTAGCCTTCCATCTTTCCCAGCATCAGTCTTTTTCAATGAGTCGGCCCTTCATCTGGTGGCCAAAGTATTGGAGCTTCAGCTTCAGCAACAGTCCTTCCAGTGAATATTTGGGGTTGATTTCCTTTAAGATTGACTGGTTTGATCTCCTTGCAGTCCAAGGGACTTTCAAGAGTCTTCTCCAGCACCACAAGTCAAAAGCATCAATTCTTCAGCACTCAGCTTTCTTTATGGTCCAACTCTCAAATCCATACATGAATACTGGAAAAACCATAGCTTTGATTATACAGACTTTTGTCAGCAGAGTGATGTCTCTGCTTTTTAATATGCTGTCTAGGTTTTTCATGGCTTTAGCCAACACATTCAGTGATTTTGGAACCCAAGAAAATAAAATCTGTCACTGCTTCCACTTTTTCCCCTTCTATTTGCCATAAAGAGATGCAATTGAATGCCATGATCTTAGTGTTTTATTTTTTTTTTGATCTTAGTGTTTTAAATGTTGAGTTTCAAGCCAGCTTTTTGACTCTTCTCTTTCATCCTCCTCAAGAAGCTCTTTAGTTCCTCTTCACTTTCTGCCATTAGAGTGGTAGAATATCTGAGGTATATGTATATATGCCAATATCTGAAGTTGTTGATATTTCTCCTGGAATTCTTGATTCCACCTTGTGATTCACCCAGCCTGGCATTTCACATGATGTACTCTGCATAGAAGTTAAATAAGCAGGGTGACAATATACAGCCTTGACATACTCCTTTTCCAATGTGGAACCAGTCAGTTCCATATCCCGTTCTAACTGTATCTTCTTGACTGGAATACAGTTTCTCAGGAGATAGGTAAGAATTTTCTCTATAAGAATTTTCCACAGTTTGTTGTGATCCACACAGTTTAACAAAGGTCCGTCTAATCAAGGCTATGGTTTTTCCAGTAGTCATGTATGGATGTGAGAGTTGGACTATAAAGAAAGCTGAGCACCGAAGAATTGATGCTTTTGAACAGTGGTGTTGGAGAAGACTCTTGAGAGTCCCTTGGACTGCAAGGAGATCCAACCAGTCCCTCCTAAAGGAGATCAGTCCTGGGTGTTCGTTGGAAGGACTGATGTTGAAGCTGAAACTCCAATATTTTGGCCACCTGATGAGAAGAGCTGACTCATTTGAAAAGACCCTGATGTTGGGAAAGATTGAAGGCAGGAAGAGAAGGGGGAAATAGAAGATGAGTTGGTTGGATGGCATCATTGACTCAATGGACATGAGTTTGGGTAAACTCCGGGAGTTGGTGATGGACAGGGAGGCCTGGCATGTTGCAGTTTATGGGGTCGCAAAAAATTGGACATGACTGAGTGACTGAACTGAACTGAATACAGTCTAAGGCTTTAGCATGGTCAATGAAGCAGAAGTAGATGTTTTTCTGGAACTCCCTTGCTTTCTCCATGATCCAGTAAATGTTGATAATTTGATCTCTGGTTCCTCTGCCTCATCAAAATCCAGCTTGTATATCTGGAAATTCTCAGTTCACATACTACTGAAACCTAGCTTACAGAATTTTGAGCATAACCTTGCTAGCATGTGAAATGAGTGCAACTGTATGGTAGTTTGAATGTTTTTTGGCATTACCCTTCTTTGGGACTGGAATGAAAAATGACATTTTCCAGTCTTGTGGTTACTGCTGAGTTTTCCAAATTTGCTGACATATTGAGTGCAGCACCTTAACAACATCATCTTTTAGGATTTGAAATAGCTCAGCTGGAATTCCGTCATCTCCACTAGCTTTTTTCACAGTAATGCTTCCTAACGCACACTTGACTTCACACTCCAGGATGTCTGACTCTAGGTGAGTGATCATACCATCATGGTTATCCAACTCATTAAGACCTTTCTTGTATAGTTCTTCTGTGTATTTTTGCCACACCTCTTCTTAATCTCTTCTGCTTCCGTTAGGTCCTTACAATTTCTGTCCTTTATTGTGCCCATCTTTGCATGAAATGTCATGTCACAACATGCATGAAATGTTTTCTTGGTATCTCTAATTTTCTTGAAGAGATCTCTAGTCTTTCCCATTCTATTATTTTCCTCTATTTCTTTGCATTGTTCATTTAAGAGGGCGTTCTTACCTCTCCTTGCTACCCTCTGGAACTCTGCATTCAGTTGGGTGTATCTTTACTTTTCTCCCTTGCCTTGCACTTATCTTTCCTCAGCTTTTTGTAAGGCCTCCTCAGACAATCACTTTGCCTTCTCACATTTCTTTTTTGGGGGGATGGCTTTGGTCACCACCTCCTGTACAGTGTTACGAACCTCTGTCCATAGTTCTTCAAGCACTCTGTGTACCAGATCTTATCCCTTGAATCTATTTGTCACCTCCACTGTATAATCATAAGGGATTTGATTTAGATCATACCTGAATGTCCTGGTAGTTTTCCCTACTTTCTTCAATTTAAGCCTGAACTTTGCAATAAGGAGTTCATGGTCTGAGCCTACTCAGCATGAGGTTTTGTCTTGCTGACTGTATAGAGCTTCTCCATCAACATCATTATCCTTCAGGAAAATACAGACTGAAACCACAATGAGATTATCACTTCACATGCATTAAGTTAACCACTATCAAAAAAAAAAAAAACATAAAGTAACAAGTGTGTTGATAAAAATGTTGAAGAATTAGAATACAAGTACACTATTGGTGGGAATGTAAATTGATACAGCTACTATGGAAAACAGTACGGTTATTCCTCGAAAAGTGAAAATAACATTACCATACAATTTAGCAATTCCAGTTCTTCTTTTTTTGCAATTCCACTTTTAGACATAAAAGCAGGAGTGAAAGCAGGATCTCAAAGAAACACTTGCACACCCATGTTCATGGCAGCATTATTAACAGTAGCCAAAAGATCAAAGCAACCCAAATGTGCGTCAGTCAATGAAAGGACAGACAAAACGTGGTGTCCAAATACAACAGAAGAGCAAAAGGAAAGAAATTCTGATACATGCTACAGTAGGGATGAAGCTTGAAGACCTTATGTCATGTGACACAGGCCAGTCACAAAAATATAAATTCTGTGGTTCCACTTGTATGAAGCACTTAGAGTAGTCACATTAATAGAGACAGAAAGTAGAACTGTGGTAGTTGAGGACTAGGGCCAGGAGGAAGGTGCTGAGGATTATGTTGTTTAATAGTTATAGAGTTTCAGTTTGGAAGATAAAAAAGTTCTAGAGATTAGTTGCCCGAGAATATGAAAAGACTTAACATTACTGAACTATAATACTTAAAATGGTTCCTTAACCATTGATTCCTTAACCTTAACCATGATCAATCTTAGCTATGCTTTTTAAATCACAATTGTTTTAAAACATTTAAACCAAGTTAAAACATCAATAAGATACCACTTGCTAAACCTATCAGATTAACGAAGACTATGTCCAGTGTTGGTGAAGGTATGGAGGTGTGTTCATGAGCTATTAAAGGGACTGTAAATTGGTAAACAACTAGGAGGAAGGTTTGGCAGTGTCTGAGGTCTTGACTCAGAGCTTCGGGCCCTTATCGCCGTCCTGGGAGAGGCAGGGACTAAGGGTCATAAGATTCTGTTCTCACCCAGCTCTGCCACAGAAACTGAAAAGCTCTTCGTTTTGGGCTCTACCTCCCCTACCATCCATCTGCCCTGCCACTTCACCCCCCAGTTAAGCCAGGCTGGGGGTGAGAAAGACCAGGGCTTTGGAGGCACAACCAGTTGCCTGGTTAGGATCCTGGCTCCTGCACTTAACTGTCTCGCCTCAGGCACATGATCCAATCTTTCCAAGCCTCAACTTCCCCATCTGTAAAATGGGGATAACAAACCCACATCATACAGTTGATATGAGGATTAAATCAGTCAACATAAGGGAAGTGAAGAGAATCATGCCTGGCAATCAGCATGGTTATTTTTTACCTTGCAGAAAGAGTGGATCTGAGAAGGCTTTCAAAAGCTATAAAGCATCATGTTTTTTCAAAAGGCAGGATTTATCTATCCATTCTCCTCTACACCACAACAGAAAGTCAGCGTGGAAATCCAGAGACTGAGATGGGCGACTCCCTGCCCCTCCGCTCCAGGGACTTCCTCCTGGCTTGGTCTTGGCCTCTCTTGTATCTGTCTACCCCCATGTGCAAGTCAGTCCAAAATGGACAAGTGGTTCCTGCCTTCCTCCCCTCAGTCTGCCCTCATCCTTCATACGATGAAGGCAGAGCACTGTAGGGCAGAAGCAGGGTATGGGGCAGAGACACAACAGAAGAAAGGGAGAGCTCAGAAGGAGAGACCACGGTGCTCTGCTTGATAAACCCAGTGAGAGAGGCACCTGAGATGTGAGGGGGGCAAAGTCACATGGAGAGGGCTTGTGAGCTCTGTGGTTTGGTTGTAGAAGCTTCCCAAAAAGATGGGCCTATGCGGAAATTGGAAGTGAGGCAGGGGCTTGAAGAAGGATGCAGAGGGCCAGATCTCTGGTAGATACACAGGTGAGGGCACAGTTGTCTGAGCTGCTGGGCTGTTCAGAGACTGGCCCACAGGTGACTGCAGTTCATGACCTCAGGGGAGCCCCCAAAGTGGAGTGCTCCCAAAGCAGGACTCCCTGACTGTGGAAAGATGTGGAAGGAGAAGCTGGCCTCTTCCTCCTGCCCCAGCCCTGTCCTTCCAAACCCTCCTGTGATGGGCCCACCTCAAACGTGAGATAATGCTCCTTCAGCCGGTTCTCCTCAGCCTCCTTGGACTTGATGCCCCGCTCGACCGGGTGACACTTGTGCTCAGCCAGCTCTGCAGTCACCTGCCTCAGCTTATTCTCATGAGAGCGCAGCTGCTCCTCCTGCAAAGATAAGTCGTGGACGGTGAGGTCCCACCCTCGGGGGTTGTAGGGGTGGGTCTCATCCAAAGGAGATCTGCTTCCCTAAGGGGAAACCGAGGCCTTGCCAGGGCCATCCAACACGCAGGGGCAGAGTCAGGTTTACATCTGAATGAGTGCACCTCCACCGCCTTCCTTCGCCCCCTCCCACCATCGGCATCAGCTCCCCCCGGAGCCTCCCCAGCAGGCTCAGGAGATGCAAGGCCCTCACTCTTGTGTGTGCACACTCCCTGACATAGACACACAATCACCGAGACTCAGCCCGGCTCCCCGGGCTTCATACGATGCACACAGCCTCTCATACTCATGTCCAGACACATCTGAGGGCCACAGACTCAGGATCACACCCAAAGACAGACAGAGACACTGTCACTACCAGACAAGTGAACAGGACACCCCACCCTCCACAGGACAGCCAGGCTCCTTTGTGCCTTATGGGCACTGGGCTGCATATGTGTATGTGTATGTGTGTATACACACAAACATGAATGTACTTGAATGGTAAGTGTGCCTGTGTGGGGAGCACCAAGAGTGCTGGCACAGCTGTGGACATAAGCAGTAGCCCCAGGGGCTCCACAGAGAAGAGCCTGGACACTGGCCAGTCAGGAAAAGGCCCTAACAGGATGGAAAGCATGGCGTTAACCCACTCTCCACCATGCAAGTGGTAGCCCAGCATTTATCCTCTCCTCTCAAAAAAATCCCTGAAAAATGGAGTACTGATGTGTGTGTGTGCACGTGTGCACTGTGCAACCCCATGGACTGTAGCCCACCAGGTTCCTCTGCCCACAGGATTTTCCGGGCAGTGGAAAATTTTCCACTGGAGTGGTTTGCCATTCCCTTCTCCAGGGGATCTTCCCAACCCAGGGATCAAAACCATGTCTCCTGCAGCTCCTGCACTGGCAGGCAGATTCTTTACCACTGAGCCACCTGGAAAGCCCAGGAGATTTTTAAGGATTACAAAGAAACATGTAAGGGTAGATGAGGGAAGCAGCTAGATGAAGGGTTCTCCAAGTCTCACCTGTCCCTCACTCCCCACAACACACACACTCATAACCATTCATGTCCGACACACAGGACACCCACAGACCACACCACATCCAGAGGACACACCGCCACTGGCACACCCACACCACTGTGCGGGATACGACCTCAGTCTCCCCGTGTGTAAGTGGGGGTGTGGGTGGGGGGTGGAGGAGGATGTCTGCTCTTTCGGCTTGTCTCTCAACCCAGGACCAGGCACCGGGTAGGCACTGCTGAATGAGGGGCCGGTGTGGGGGGGCGGTGTCGTTAGCCCAGGAGCTTGTACCTGGCAGAGGCGAGTGGTGCAGGAGGGCAGCAGAGGCCGACAGAACTTCTTCATGGAGCTGACAGCAGCGGGGAAGGAGGGCGCTGAGAAGATGGCAGCCACCAGGTTGATCCTCAGGATCCAGGACAGCATTTCCTCTTTGCTCCTGGGGATGGGAGGGGAGGGGAGGGCTCACCGGCTTCTCACAACAGGACTCCCTACCCCCCACCCAGCACCCAGCACCCAGCACAGAGAGAACACAAAGACCTCCATGTAGGTGGGCAAAGGGGTGAGGGAGGGTGGCAGGATGGGGGCTGATGGGCCTGGTCATGTCTGCATAGGGAGCTCCCTTCTGTCCCAGCTCCCAGACAAGACCTGGATTTCCGTGTGAAAATGAAGCTGTCCAGAGCTAACGGCCTGGAGCTAGTGAGTCTGAGACCAGCAGGGGAGGTCAGAGGCAGCTGGGCAACTGGTCACCCCGACTCTGCCCTCTCGGCCCTGCCCTGCTGCCTGGCCTGGCACAACCACTCCTATCCTCAGAGTTCACCTGCCAGTCTCCCCACTTTTAAGTTCATCTGACACATGAAACCCGAATCTCAAGTTACAGAAAGATGAGGTGCAGGTGCATAGAAAGAAGGCCTATGGATAAACAATAAGGTGAGTCTTCTGCGCCTATCACCCCAACTTTAAGTGGAGGATGATTTACAAAGAGTCCATCTGTCTTGTATTTAAAGACTTCAGTGAACATCAGAATCACCTTGAGGTCTTATTAAAACACAACTGCTGGCCCACCTCCAGTGTTTCTGAGGTCCCAAGGTGGGACCACAGAAACTGTATTTCTAACGAGTTTGGGGGCTATTTTTGACCACACTGGGCAGCATGCAGGATCTTAGTTCCCCGACAAGGGATCGAACCTGTGCCCCCTGCATTGGGAGCAGAGTCTTAACCACTCAGCCACCAAGGAAGTCCCTCAACAAGTTTTCCAGGAGATGCTGAGGGATCACACTTGAGAAACACTGCTGTCAGGAGGGACCTGAGCTGTTGGTTTGTGCCAAGCGATTACATTTGCTCTCACAGCTGCTATGCCAGAGAAGCTAAGGGCGCCTCCCCTGAGATAGATGAGGCAAGGATGTGGGGCAGGTCCTGAGCCCAGGGTGGGAGCAAGGGGGCACCCACTCCTACTTACGGTGCCTGGAAGAGGAAGACCCTCCAGTCAGCTGTCTTCAGCTTGAGAACATTGGACTTCTTGCTGTAGTCAGAGGCCCTGGTGGCCAGAGCGTGGTGCACACGGATGGCATTCTTCAAGTCACCCTCGGACAGGGCTTTGTCAGGCCTGTACTCATCCTGGACAGGCCGGGTCAGGGGTAGGCAAGCCTCTGTCATCACCAGGCTCTGGTTTACTGACCCGTACCTCCACCCTCACTGTCCCTCCCTGTCATTCACCTTCTCTCTGTCCCTACACATCCCACCATCTTTCAGCTGCTGTCACTCTGATGCCATGCCCACCCCAATAAGAATCACCATGCACTCCTCCCCCAGCACCCCAGTTGGCCCCAGAAGCTTGAACAGGCCTTACTCCTCTGAAACTCCCTTTAAAAGGCCCTTCTCTGAAACCACCAAAGCCCTCAGTGAGCCAAAGTCAGGTCCTTGATGTGGGAGGATCCAAGATCTGCCTAAGCCCTAGGCCTTTCCCAGGAACCTCTGGGCACCAGAAGGCAAGGGCTGAGTTGGCCCTTCCTGGGTAAAGATTCTGGGGGAATCTCTCACCTTCTGCAGGTACAGAATGGTCCCTTTGAGCACCGCGTAGAATTTCTTCCAGCCACGCCTCCCACGGGGTGCTAAGGAGGGGGGGGCATGGGTAGTGTGGCCATAACACCCATCCCGGCATCTCCTCCCCTGTGTCCCCCTACATGTCTGCTGGCATGAGCATTCCCAGAGGAGCAGCCAAGGGGTGCAGATCCTCTCTGGACTAGCATCCCTCCCCACTCCCCTTCCCCGCCTGACACCCACTCCTCTTGCCATCCATGTCGGCGTGAGTCTTCCGGGTCAGCACACCATGCTTGTAGGTAGTGGCACTGAGAGCTTGTGGGACATCCAGGAAGGGGTTGCTACCATCCAAGATCCGTGTCACCTTCTTTGTGCCTGTCCCAAATTTGTCATCCACCAGCTCAGACAGTGATTTCCTCAGCTCATCTTCATCACTAGGAAAGTACTAGGGCTGAGTACCACCTCCACAGAGGCCTCATCCCCATGCCAACATGCCCTCTCCCCACCAAACACTCCTCTGGAAGCCAGTTAGAGGTGAGGAACAGAGATAAGAGGGTTTCAATTCCAACCATAGATTCAGACCTTTGACCTGAGTCTCCAATTCTGACCTTCATCCTCTGAAATTTTATTTTTGGCCTCCAAGCTCCAATCTTCACCTTTGATCACAAAGTTGGAGACCTTACTACCTTCAGACTTACCCCCTGGTCTTCCCTCACCTCTCTGAAAGCCCAGCCCCAGGGAGAAGTAACCCATGGGCAGACTGCCCAAGTCCCAGGGACATGGTGAGGAACAGGTGGTCAGCAGATTAGGCCCCTAAAGTCTAGGTTCCCCACTGGAGCCCTGGTAGAAAAATGCCAGCTCACCCCAGTTAGGTTGGGTTTCCTAACGATCCCTACCTGGGACCTTCGCATAGACCCCAAGACCCAGGCTGCCCTGGGAAGTACAGCAGAGTGGGGTGGCAACTTTCCCCAGGAGCCTCTTATAGTCTCCCCAACCAGCAAGGTCACCACACCTCTTTCCAGATGGCTGGGTACCTCCAGGTCTCACTGCCCTCTCAAGGGAAGAAGTTAGGGGGCAGTCACCTCTCCCCATTGCCAAGAGCAGTCACCATTTCAATATGGTCATATTACTAGCATTGTAAAGGGACTCAGAGCTCATGCCTGTCTACCTCCCCAAGGGGAAAGATACATATTATCACTGAAAATAGTGGCAATATCCCCTGAACAGAAAACCTGTTGTGAACATCATGAAACTAAAGTCACAGTTTAACCTGTTCCACAGCTGTAAAACTGCACACTATTTATCAAGACAGAAAATGAATCCAAAGGGGAACTCAACAGCAGGAGCTGGCCAGCTGGTCAGGGGTCACTAGGGCCCTGGGTGGGAGAAATCAGCACCATGGAGAGTGACCAGCATGCCTTCCCAGTACCATCAGCCACTCCCTCGCCCCACTCCCAGTAATTCTCTCCCCATATTTGTGCTCATGGGCACTACTCACATGGCCCATTCCAGTTTTTCATTCTTGATGGAGTTGTAAAGGGTCTAGGAGAGGGGGAAAGAGAGGAGTTCAAAGAAGAGTCAGAGTCCATCTACCTCTAGCGATGTGGAGGCAGTGAGGGAGTACCTTTTCAGCCAGTGGGGCAAAGAGGGTGCTTGATTCACACTTATTCATTGGATGGGTGAATGAATGGGGGTGGGTGAGTATTGTTTAGATGATTGGATAGACTTGAGGATGAGTGGGTAGATGAGTTGGTAAGTATGTAAATGGGCTGAGAAATAGGGGGGTAAGTGTGTATAGAGGACTGTGTAGGAGAGTATGTGTGGGTGATGGGTGAATGGGTAGGTGTAGGGACAGGTGAATGATTGAGTTGCAGGGTGGGTATGTGGATGGAAGGATGGATATATGGGAGGATGGGTAGACGGATGGATGAGTAGATGGGGAGTAGGTGGGTGAAGAGACTGGGATCATTTTATTTTACTTAAAAATACACCTTAACTAGTTCTTCCTGACAGTGAAGAACATAATTATGGTAAGAAGGGCGATGAAGGCAATGTTTATTTTCTGACCTCCAGATTCACTATCCAATTGCCCACCTGATATCATCAGTTCCCTCTAACTCATCCTCTAAAACTGAACTCATCATCTATCCCCCCAAACATGCTCCTATTCCTCCAAGGTGGAGAACTGACCAAACTTGAAAAGCCAGAGTTTTTCAAAAGAAACTTTTCAAAAGTTTTCAAAAGAAAACTAGATTCCTTGTGATGTTTAAGAAATGAGTAGCTTTTCCCTGTGGTGATGATACTGATGATTGTGGTGAAAGTGGTGGTGGTGATAAGGGTGATAAGGTGAAGATGATGGCGGTGGCAGCTGTGACAATGGGTGGCAGTGTTGAGCACTATCTTGACAGAAATAATGATAGTGGAGCACTAAAAACAAATCTCACAAAGCCTACCCTCTGCCTAACTCAGGGAACTCATTCTAGTCATGTGTTAAGCTGGGTGGTCTCTACCTCTGTCCCAAAGCCATCATTACCCTGATCCCAGAATGAAGAACTTGGACCATCAGGATTTAGTGGAGCAGAAACCTCTCTCCTCCCCACCCACCCCAAACACAGCTGGGAGCATGGGGACCCTTAACAAGTTATACCTTTAGCAGGTCTTTGGCAAAGTCTTGGCCATCATTCAGTTGGTCCAAGTTGGCAATGAATTGCTGGCAGGACATCTTCTTGCCAATGTTCTGTAATGAAGGAATGGTTCTGCCTGAGAGTAGGGATGGAGCCTGGTATGGTCCCCACACCCTGCCCTGCCCGGCAAGAAGGGATGAGGCAGAATCAAGGGCAGTAATGAAAAAAGACTGCCTGAATTTCCCTTTGTCTCTCCATGAGTTTACAAAACTCTTTTTCACATTCAAGATTCTATTTGATCCTCAAGCATCATGAGAGGTTGGGGTTCTCCTCAAACCCAGATGAAGGAGTCAGGTTAGATGAAATAACAGCTGACGTTTGCTGGGTGCCTAGCACGTTCCAGGTTTTGTACTCAACATGCATTATCTTATTTCCTTCTCACAACAAAGAGAAGGTTAGGTGGGTGTTATTATTATCCCCACTTGAAGGTAAGGAAATTGAGGTGCAGGAAGGTGAAGTGATGTGCCCATGATCACACAGCAAGGAAGTAGAAGGGCTGAGTGTGTCTGACACCAAAGCCCGTGCTCTCACCCGCTACTCCATGGTTAACTCTCCCAAGGTCACAGCACCAGGACTTGAACCCAGGCCTCTTGACTCCTGAGCAGAAGCTCTGTGTATTCCGTCACAACTGTCTTGCCCTCTCACCTGTACAGAGGGGCGGCAAGACCTCCAAGAGGTAGGTGAAGTGAGGGAGAGTTTTGTCTTAAGAGAATCAAAAATCAATTTCCACCAACACACATGGGTACCCCATGCTGAGCTGCACTGGGACCAAGGGAACCTGAGCAGATGGTTTCACTCCACGAAGCACAGACAGACAAAGAGCTGGAATGACTGTACCCCAATTTCTGCCTTTTTTAACGATGATTAGAAGAGGGGCTCCAGCCCCCCAAACTCAACATCTGATGTGCATAATTTCAGACTCTCCTTGCAGTGTCCATGTTTGAGGGAACACTGATGGCACTTCACCATTGAGAAGACAAAGTCCCTTGAACACTAGACATTTATTGGTGTAGGATTTGGTGGATTTAGGTTTGCTGTAATGCAGTGTTTCCCAAGATTCACCTACAGATGAGAATAGGAATTCCCCCTGAAGGATTTCATAATCAAACAAGTTTATATGTTTCAGAGCTTTCAGCATGCTTCTGTGGTATCGAGAGTCTCCAAGGAGAGGATTCCATGTAGTTTCTCAATTACTCCATTTTAGCAACAATTCTATTAATACCATGTGGGACATTCACACACCACAGGAAATAATTCAGAAGATAATGATAGAAAGTTTTATAAGTAGCTGATGAACAAGAATTTTCTATACCTTTTCTAAAGGGTTAAGTAGAAATGATCCTACAAATGCCTTAATATGTGTTTCATATGTCTATGTGTATATTTTACATGTACATCCATATAAGTATGTATATATGAATATAGTCATTTATGCATACAGTCATAATTGAGGAACATGAGGGCACTGTTGATCACACTGTCTGAGTTCCACACACACACATTCCCAAGCCATCAGTAAGGGGTGGGTGTAAAATCAAAAAATTACCAGGCAAGAGTTATAATCCTAATAATGACAGACTGTCTTGTTGCAAATGAACCTTCTCATCAGAAACAACACACAATGTCATCTGTGTGAAGACATTGGAGAAATATAAGAGCAATGAGGACTTCAAGGGCAAAGGTCCTACAAAGAAGGGAAACGTGGAGAGGGGAGGCCGACAAGGAGCAGCTTTCCTCTTCAAAGCATCTGTCAGTTCTCAAGAAGTGGGCAAAAGCATCAGCAGACGAATGGATGAGGAAGCTGTGGTACATATACACCATGGAATATTACTTAGCCATTAAAAAGAATTCATTTGAATCAGTTCTAATGAGATGGATGAAACTGGAGCCCATTATACACAGCGAAGTAAGCCAGAAAGATAAAGACCATTACAGTATACTAACACATATATATGGAATTTAGAAAGATGGTAATGATAACCCTATATGCAAAACAGATAAAGAGACTCCGATGTATAGAACAGACTTGTGGACTCTGGGAGAAGGCGAGGGTGGGATGTTTCAAGAGAACAGCATCGAAACACGTATATTATCTAGGGTGAAACAGATCACCAGCCCAGGTTGGGTGCATGAGACAAGTGCTCGGGCCTGGTGCACTGGGAAGACCCAGAGGGATCGGGTAGAGAGGGAGGTGGGAGGGGGGACCGGGATGGGGAATACATGTAAATCCATGGCTAATTCATTTCAATGTATGACAAAACCCACTGCAATGATGTAAAGTAATTAGCCTCCAACTAATAAAAATAAATGAAAAAATATAAATAAAAATTAAAAAATAAACCCTAAAAAAAAAAAAAAAAGAAGTGGGCAAAAGAGGAACAACTGAGTGGTCAAAAGGACTAGAAAATGAAAATTGGAACTCAGGGCCCACCGAGGACAAGGGGCCCTGGGAAACACGCCAGTCACACTTCAAAACTTGAAATTAAGAAAGGAAGGAAATTCTTCAGACACAAGGAAAGTTATCCCAGATGGAAGCCTGGCAAAGCAGAAAGGAATGAAGAGCAACAAAAAGGGTAGCTAAATCTAAATGATTACTGACTGTGAAAAATAAAAATAATAAAGTTTTCTGGGGAATAAAATGTAGAAAGAGATACAAACAGTTAAAAGGATGATAACAGTAGTATGTAAGTTGGGAAGACAAATAAATTAAGGCATTTTAAGGTTATTTCATTTCTAGGACATGGTTAAAGTACTTTAATAAGTGAGAGATATATATTGCAAACCACAAAAAGAATTCTAAAAGAATTCACAACTAACAAGCTAATAGGGGAAAACAGTAGTCTAAAAAAATACTTAAATAATCCAAAAGCAGGCAAGAAAGGAGAAAAAAATAAGCAATATAGACCAGATGAGTCAAAGAGAAAATGAAGAGTAACCTGATATGTTTGAATTCAAATATATTAGTAATTTATTAAATGATCAAATTAGGAGGGAGGTGGGGGGGGGTTCAGGATGGGGAACACATATAAATCCATAGCTGATCTATATCAATGTATGGCAAAAACCACTACAATATTGTAGAGTAATTAGCCTCCAACTAATAAAAATAAATGAAAAAAAAAAAACTTTGGAGGGAAACAGGGAAAAAATAAAATAAAAAATAAATGATCAAATTAAAAGGCAAAGATTAATAGACAGCTCTTAATATAAGGAGACAGAAATCTTGGGGAAAGGATAAAAAAGACATGCATGCAAATACTAGCAAAAGAACTCCAGTATAGCTACACTAATAACTGACAAAATAGACTTGAAGGCAAGGAGCATTACTACAGAAACATTTAATAATAATAAAAGGGTCAATCTACCAGAAGATATAAACATTCTAAATTTGTATGTACCTAATAACATAGTTTCAAAGAGTAAAAGACAAAAATTGAACTAAAAAGAGAAAGACACTCACAGTCACGGTTAGAGATTTCAACACTGCTTTCTCAGTAACAAGAAGAACAAGAATCCTAAGCAATTAATTTGTTAATATCAATCAATTAATGCCAACCAATACCCTAAATAAAATAAGCAAATTCCTAGAAACACACAAACTTCTAGAACTGGCTCAAGTATAAATAGGAAAACTAAATAAACCTAAAAAGAAGTAGATATTCACTCAGCAATCAAAAACCTCACAAAAGAAAAGCCCAAAACCAGATGGCTTCACTAGTGAAACTTACCAAACATTTAAAGAAAAATTAATACTAATACTTGGGACTTCCCTGGTGGCTCAGATGGTAAAGAATCTGTTTGCAATGCAGGAGACCCAAGTTTGATCCCTGGGTTGGGAAGATCCCCTAAAAAAGGGAATGGCAACTCACTGCAGTATTCTTGCCTGGAGAATTCCATGGACAGGAGCCTGGTGGGTTACAGTTCATGGGGTCATAGAGTCAGACATGACTGAGCAACTTATGTTTAACATTAATACTTCTTGGTGTTTCCCAGGTGGTGCAGGGGTAAAGAATCTGCCTGCCAATGCAGGAGACACAAGAGATGCAAGTTCAGTGCCTGAGTCAGGAAGATTCCCTGGAGGAAGAAATGGTGACCCACTCCAGTATTCTTGCCTGAAGGACTCCATGAACAGAGGAGCCTGGCAGGCTACAGTCCATGGGATCGCAGAGTCAGACATGACTGAGCAACTGAGCACACAATACTTCTTAAGCTTTGTCCAAAAACTGAAAAAGAGAGAACACTTCCTCACTCATTCTATAAAGCCAGCATTACTCTGATACAAAAAGCAGACAAAGAATTCACAAGAAAATAAAACTAAAGAACAGTATCCCCTATAAATAGAAATGTAAAAACTCTCAATGAAATACTAGCAAAATAGCAGCATAGTAAAAGGATTATATACCATGATCAAGTGGAATGTATCCCAGGAGTACAAGAGTAGTTCAACATATAAAAATCTATAAACATAATACACCACATTAATAGAATGAAGAGAGGGAGAAAACACCAGATCCCTGCAAAAAGGGAAAACTTTTTCTAACCATACACCTGATAAGAATATAGTAACTAGAATAAAGAACCTTTACAACTCAACAACAAAAAACACAAACAGACCAATTAAAGAAAAGCAAAAGACACCAGTCAGAATGGGCATCATCAAAGTCTACAAACAATAAATGCTGGAGAGAGTGTGGAGAAAAGGGGATGCTCTTGCACTGTTGGTGGGAATGTAAATTGATACAGCCACTATGGAAGACAGTTTGGAGATTCCTTAAAAAAACTAGGAATAAAACCACCATATGACCCAGCAATCCCACTCCTAGGCATATACCTTGAGGAAACAAAAATTGAAAGAGATACATGTACCCCATTGTTCACTGCAGCACTATTTACAATAGCTAGAACATGGAAGCAACCTAGATGTCCACTGACAGATGAATGGATAAAGAAGTTGTGGTACATATACACAATGGAATATTACTCAGCCATAAAAAGGAACATGTTTGAGTCAGTTCTGATGAGGTGGATGAACCTATAATCTATTTTACAGAGT